CGGCAAACAAGATTGCAGCCGCATGCGTTGAGACGGTTACTGCCTTCACGCCGCTGAAGACGTGCGAGCCTGTTTGACCGCCCCACACCAAAGCTTTTCCATCCGACTTCATGGCGGCCAACACTCGCCCGTCTCGAACATGGCCGCTAATGATTGATACGACGCCGCTTGTCAACTCCGAGGTCACTGGCTCGGAATGTGAACCACCGTAAGGTGCCTCACCCCATGTGAAGGCACTGCCATCAGTCTTGATTGCAGCAAACACGTGGCTGTTCGAGCCCACAGTCGCGACCCCAGAGCTTGCTTGCGATGTCACATCCGCTGGAACTGTCAGCGAGCCGCCTTGATTGCCTGCTCCCCAAGTGACTAGTTTTCCATCAGATTTCAAGGCTGCGAATGCGTGCCCTGAGGAGAAGATGTCGACAACGTCGGAGGTCAGCTGGCTTGAGGCAGATCCATAATTCCCACCAAAGGATCCATGGCCCCACGAAAAAGCGCTTCCATCAACCTTCATAACTGCGAAAGCATAGAGACCGGAGACGATTTTAGTCACACCACTGGTGAGCTGCGCCGACACGGCACTCGAGTCTCCGCCTTCGCTCGAGCTTCCCCAAGCAATTACGCTACCATCTGTCTTCAAAGCCGCAAAAGCCCCGCGCCCAGCCACCAGTGTTTGGACACCGGAGGCTAAGCTCGCAGCTACACCGGCTGCTGTAGTATCGCCACCCATGGAGGCATCACCCCAGGTCGTGACACTTCCATCCGTCGCCAAGATGGCGAAAGCATGGTCAGTGCCAGCAATGATTTGACCTGCACTTGCAATGAAACCTCGCAGTGTGGCTAGAAAGTCCAGGGTCCGGCCCTCATGGCCGCCACGGAGCTGGAAATCTATTTTTGTATCACTGTTCGAGGATGCTGTACTTTGAGCCAATATGGCTACGGAGAGGAGGTTACCAAGGCCGCTTTGCCGCCCAGCATGCGCACGGGTGCACCTCGTCCCACAAAACCAGCTTGCTGGCCTTGAAAGCCTTGAAAATCTTCTCCTTGCCACCTCCCTCAGGAGCACTCTGAGCGATGTCCGGGTATCGGAACTTCACCAAGGAGTAGTAGCCTAAGTAAGAAATAAGGTCAGAGCATGAAACGCTCACTCTTGCACGGGAGTAAAAAGCCCGGCGCCCATCATCACCAGCACGTACCTTAGCGTGCAATGCAATTCGCAGCAACACGTGGTTCTTTCTTTCCCTCCCCGACCCAGGCAAGCGGCAGCATTGCCAGCAGAGCCCCGGCAATGATCACAGGCACTGCCACCCAAATCTCGGCCATGTGTCCGGTCACCAGCCTCGGCAGACATGTGCGCACCTGGCCTGCTCATCCACACGGTCCTCGCGGCCCTCGTGCCTCCACGGAAATGTGATGAGGTCGTACATGAAGGCATAGCACATCACCTGCAGCGCGAGAAGCAAAAGGCTCGTCGCCCCAGGTCTCACTTGGATGCCACCGAAAGGCGCAGAATCCCAGCACGCCGTGGGTCCTTTTGACCGTTTTTGCAAGCTTCGGGGCACATGCTTTGAGCTTTGCAATTCGGAGTACCGTCAATTCCAGCTGCAAGCAACCCACCCATCCCCGTCAGTCGTTCCAAAGAGGAAGAGCGGGAAGACATAGACGAAGCCAAGCACACCCCAGTACACCTGAGGACTGACACTGCCAGCACTGTTGGAGTCTGTTAGAGAGCCGCGGAAACAGTGCCATGCTGCGTAGAGAAAGTGTATGGGGGTAGGGGCCAGCATAGGCTTGCCCCAGACCTCATCCAATACCCACGTAGGCTTTTACACCATTTCTCAAGCCACCGAATAAACCAATAAATCAAACCTTTCAAACCACCAAACACAAAGCACTTCCCAAATCCTACGCCGAGATCCAAAGCACCTCCCAACACAACACCACAAAAAAGAATCCCAAGCCGTAAGCCCCGCAGTTACCCCAGACCTCAGACTCGGTAACCCTCACCGGCATGGAGAAGCCTCAAAAGGCGATTCCAGAAAATGCTATATAAACCTGAACAAACTTTTCCGAAAGCCAAATACCGATACAAACTAGCCAGAAACATAAAAGAAGCTAACCGAACACCGACAGAGCCATGATGCTGGACAGCAATGCAGGATTCCTCATCAAAACTTGATCGCACAACAAATGCTGACCAGCAGTGACAGCTCAACGTTGCCCATCCTGGACCCAGGCTGGGGGGCCGGGGGAGTGAGGGGAGTTGTGCCACAAGGCCGGGCTCTTCCCAGGCCTCACTGTTTCCAGCCCGCCCCCCACCTCTGATCTCAACTGCGAGGCGATCAATCTTGATAGGAATCCCAAGTGCGAGCATGTAGTGAGTGCTGGCTGTGTTCATTGCTTCTGCTTTCCCAGAGCTGCAGGGCACGTTTGGTGTAGCTTTTTTTCTGCATTCGTTTCTTTAAAATGTATCTTAGTTGTTGCTCTGGTTTTGCAAATCGACTTGCCAAGTCGTGTCCATCGACTGGTGGTTGTTACACTACGGAATGCTGGGTGTGCTTGCAATCTTGGCAGTGCCGACAACCGATGACTGCAACACGCTGATAGCCATCGACATTCCGGGTGGAAATTGTCTTTGAATGAAACCATGAACCCCACACTTTTTACACCACCATAGTGGCAACAATCGGCATTTGGAGGCAATACAAGACAACAACGATAACAAGGCGGAGTGACACGGCAAGAGCAAGCTTATGGGCCAAGATTCTTTTTTCGATCTGATGTCAGCACTTGCCCGCCACATACAGTTTGCGGCAATCTTGGGTGTGAAAGTAGTACTTCACAACACTTAGATATTTAATGGGGGTTCTGGAGGAGCTTCAAAGAGCTTCAGAGTGTGCGGTTGCGTTCTCATTCTCCGGCTCTGGAACTCGAAGCCCGTTCTTGGGGCTGGCACGAGAGCTATGGCATCCGAGATGACGCCGAGCCTGGGCACACATGCACCCTGGAAAAGCGCGGCGGCTATGATCTGGGAACATATGCTCATCGCCAAGACATCGAGGGCAGCACACGTCGGGCTGAAGGAATAGTCGATGAGTCCAGCTCATTTTCACCTGCCGGCTTCTTTCACGGCGACAAGCCGACAGTGACAAAGGCCACATCTCACAGAAGTGTAAGCCTCTATCATCCACGTGCCAGCCACTGCTGCCACCGTGTTTGGACCTGGGAATGCTTGGATGCCCTGTCGGCGAGAGACAAGATCAGCTGAGTGCCAGAACTGAAGGCCAGCATCAATGCCAAGGCATGCATCTTCCTGAGAACAGCCGAAGCAGGAGCAGATGTTCGAGAGGGACGAGCAAGGGCGAGCGGCAAAGGAAGAAAACTCAAAGGAACGGTATCAGAGTAAGATGTAGTGATGTAGTACTGGCAAGCAGATCAAGAGCAAGAGAGAGAGTGAGACAGAGACAGACAGAGAGACGGAGAGGGAGGTAGTGGAAGCAGGGGCAGCAGCAGCAGTGTTCGCCGGCTTCCAGGCATGGCCGTCTTCATGATGTCATCGTCGACACAGCACCCGCAGCAGTAAAGGATGTATTCAAAATCGGATGCATCCCGACATTACCCGACAATACGAGCGCGCAGGCACACAGAATAGAATGCACGCAGCCATCCCCGGGCGGAATCCAACAGCGAAAACAGTAGCAGCCGTCGTCTTCTTTGTCGTCGTCGTCTCTTTAGCTGGCGTACTGCTCTTGATTGTCGTTCCCCTGCTGTAAGAACTGGTGCAACCAAATAGAGCATGTGCCAAAACTGTTGCAAACTCGACGATAACAAGAAGCATGAACAAACGGAAGTGAGAAACGATGACCAGCACCACACTGCACTTTGCAACTCTTCCCATAATCATGAAAAGGAGGGTTGTCTACTCGTACTGTCATTGCACTTTATACTCACACCCGTGTGGTGGCTCTTTCTCACATGAAACAAAAACATGTCTCAAACAAAGAATGTCTCCAGCTGCCGCGGGACTGAAAGCCCTGGAAGTGACCCAGATAGCCTATGGCCGAGAAGAAGTCCTCGTCCAGGGCACTTCATTGAAGATGGGGTGAGATTACATTCTTCTTGGGAAGACTTGCTTTTCGTCCAGGGCACTTCATTGAAGCTGAGGTGAGATTGCATTCTTCTTGGGAAGACTTGCTGTATTAGTTTGGAAAAGGCCTCGAGGATACAAGTAGTGTCATTCAAGCAGTGGGGTGTCGGCGTGCACCCTCAGTCGAAAGGCAGGGGCACACCATCAGAACCTCGTCGGCGAAACAGCTTCTTCGATACCCAACTACCAGCAACTACCAACCAACCTCAACAGTGAACCTCCGACTTCGCCCTCCTCCAGCAGCTGGCTCAAGGCCATAGCCAAGAACAGAAGCCGCAGCAGCAGCCTGAGCACCTGAGTAGGCAGAGGCACTCAAAAAAACAAATCCACGGGGCCACGGAGGGGCGGCGGGGCCCTGGCTTTCGTCCTCGGCTCATGCACCTCCTGAGAAGAAAGGTGTTTGAACTCTGCCAGAAATAGACCGAAGACAGTAAATTAAAAAAGCCTGGTTCAGAGCTGCGCTGCTCTTCAAGAGAGGCTCGTCCATGACCTCCGCCAGAAGGAGAGCAGAACTCTCTGCCCGTCCCCTCCAAGCCACCCTGGGGCCCCATCCCAAGCGGTCGTGACCAGCTTCGCGGCGGCTGCAATGACCGCCAGGGCCAAAGGAGGCCGAAACCTGGGATTATCGGTTGACGGATGGGACAACCACCACCACCACGACCACCACCCTTTCGGGAACCCGGACAATGGCAAGCTGAGATCCAGGCATGGGGTTGACATTCTGCTCGAGAACAAACATCTTACGTCTTAACTTCAACGCGGATCACTGGAAGCACCTGCTAGAGTCCTTGCTGTGGCACTGCCTTTAGAATGAACTCATGGGAGCTTGATCCCGACCTGCATGAGCGCCATCCTACGGTTTGAGCCTTGCTTGCTTCCGGGGATAGTTTGACACATTCCCTCCCCGACTGCCACTTCGGCACGTGCACATGCCCTTTACTAACTCTTTCAACAACAGTGTCCCTTTGCCCCCCTTGCCTGGGTCACCGCACTCCCAGCGTTCATCCCCCACATCTGCAGCCGGACCTGCAGAGAAACTTCGATGGAGCGCCTCTGCATGGCGTGACCACAAGGGCGCTGCTACTTGTAGGAGGTGACAACACTTGCAAGGGATACGTGGTATTGCTCACATCTTCAGGAGCTCTACGCTGGATGCTCCATGACGGCAGATGTGTGTAGCATCCTCTTGGGAAGCCTCTGTGGGCAGTTCAAAGAGTCGTGGGCCCGGCCGTCGCCGCGCTGAGGAGGGGCTTGGTGTTGCGAACCGAGGCACTTCGAAGCTCCTGCTTGGGGCTTGGGCTTAGATACTTCAGGATCTTCTACATCTCTGCTGTGGACTCTCGAAGCAAACATGTCAGATGGTCCGTGCGCTCTGATCACAGCAGAGTTTCAAGGGATCCCCAAATTTGCACAAGCAGGCCTGCAAGAAGGACTTGAAGCCGTAGCGCTGCCTCAGCGCAGGCGTTAAGAATACTTCAAGCTATTGAAAAGTTGTTAAAGATCGCTCTTTCGAGCCGGCACTGCAAGATACCAACATATCCCAACACCCGAAGGAGCCCCAAACTCCCGAACTTGCCATGCTTTGCTGCTCCAAGTGGCTCCAGATACTCTGGCAAGGATTTCGCAGCGGCGAGCTGCGCAGGTCACAGCAGCTTTGCGAAAGTTCTGGTTCAACATCTACCAACAAAACCAGCCTGTGCACAATCAGCTGGCTCAGCCAACTTTATCATCTGCAAGACGCGTGATGACACGTGCCTACTCCAACAATTCAGACCACTGCGCATTCCTAAAGAATACGGCGTGGAAAACTTGTTTAACAACGAAAAGAAAAAATCCTTAAAACTGCATTTTCAGCCTACCCCGACATCTTTGAGGGAGGACACGGCTGCAAAGCAAATGCTACTGCTACTCCCCTCGCGGTCTCACTGGCCAAGGCCTGCCAGCATCTCGGCTGCCGATTCCGCAAACTCCTCGCCACCTCGACACACGTCGGAGATGCAGTCTTCGAAGATCTGTGCATTGATGCCTTCGGCCGCACGCATCTCCCCTCCCAAGTGCTTGCTGCACAGCTTCTCCGCCGTGGCACGCTCGGCATCTTCGCAGGATGCAGCGATGAAGGCATGCTTGCTCTCGAGGCCCTCGAGGAACTCCGCAACCTCGGCACTGCCACCCAACTTTGCCCAGCCCTGATTCGTCTGGAACTTCATGTGCTGACCACCGGCGGGATTGATTTGGCCCTCCAAGAACTGGCTGTCGGCCATGTTGGGCATGCTCACTCGCAGATTGATGCCGCTTGGCTTGCAAACGGTGTTCATCACGATCGTGTCCTTCCTGCCGTGCTCCCCGTTCATGCGCAGCGTGATCTTCTTCTCGTTGACGTACTCGAAGCTTGTGACGTAGTCCTCGTCCTCCAGCAACGACACAGAGTGGCCGCTCTCGCTCAGCACCTGCCAATGGCCACGGTCCCCCGTCTTGCTGCGCCACTCGCAGTCCGTGCTGCTTAACTCCAGTGCCTGGCGGAAGCGTCCCATGGAACGATCCTCCAGCAGCAAGCCCTGCACCGTCCATAGTGGGCCGCCGTAGTGGGAGTAGAGCTTCCAGTCCACCTCTGCACGTCCCTTGTGCTTAGGCTGCGCAAGCTTCTGGCCGGAGTACTGGAATATGGTGTAGGTGCCGTTCTCATAGAGGTCGAACTTGTCGCCATCGAGGGTGTAGATGTGGGGATCACCCCAGACGCTGCCGCCCTTGCATGCAGTAAAACGCCGGATTCCCCCAGAGCCTCCCAAGTAGATCTTCATCGTGCGCACGTGCGTAGTCAAGAGCTGCAAAATCGCCGGGTTGCCGTCCTGGCCCGGACCGTCGGGGGCGGAGATGTTCTTCAGCAAACGGTTCTTGGTGCCGTAGAGCTCCACGAAGGTCGGTTCCTCCAGGTCCCAAAGCTCGAGCTCTTGCAAACTTTGGAGTTTCTTGAAGGTGATCGTGACCAGCACGCCCGGATGCTCCCCGCAGTCATTGACCTTACGCCGGTTGCCGTCCTTGGACCAAACGACGATTCGGCAATCTTTGCATCTCTGCAAGTCCTTGTCCACACTGCGGAAATCCTCCCGGGTGTCTAAAACCAGGAGGGGCCCCGGGCAAGGCTTGCCAAAACCCGGTTCCGGCTCTGTGGCACGGCGAGTGGCCGTGATCGTCATGCCCTTGATGGCATTCGGCTTTATCTCGTCACCGTGCTTGAAGCCGTTGAAGTTGTACTCCGTGATGGGCTCGCCTTTGCAGAAGCCCTTGTTCCAACTCTTGTCATGCAAGGCATGCCTCAGCTGGGCCTTCATTTGCTTCGCCTCGGCCATCGCGCGCCTGTCCATTCCGTGTGCCTCGTGCTGGGCCTGCAGCAAGCAGGAGCCATCCTCCTCAGCTAGCACGTGGGCCAACAGCCCTGCCAAGAGTGCTTTCCACATGATTCGTCCGGTTCGGTCTAGCGGAGTCTAGAGTCTAGCGCTCAGTGCTGAAGCTCGATCCAAAGAGCAGACAGTAAGCAGCCATTTGCCGATCTTGGCATGAACACTTCTTTGATTAAGGCGACGTCTGCTCTCCCGCCGTCCCATTTGTGCGACAGCAAGGCATTCAATAGATTGCCAGCTCTGGCGCTTCGCCACTGCCAGCCGAGCAAGTGCTCCCTCGTCTCTTGCCAGAACACGGAACTGTATCGCACTTCTCTTCATGAATGCTAGGAACTTACCAAGCGGAAGGGTATTGGCAAGAGTTTCAGGTGGCCTTGGCCGGCCACCGACTACATGCAGGTAGCCACTGCTTGTGAGCAAGGTCATTAGCCAGGGCAGTACGCAGAAGGGCACGCTTTCCGCAGCTCAGCAGAAGGCCCTGAAACTGATGGAACTGGAGAACTTGAAACTTCTCGAATTCGACGGGCGCTGCCAAGGCCGTCACGAGAGACCTTTTTTCCAAAAATCTCTCGGCCTGACCTATCTTACCGGGCGACATTCTGTCTGCTCGACATCTTCTGGATCAAGCTACTGCTGCCCATGCAGAAACCATCGCCGAAAATGACCTTCGGAAAGGGAAAAGCTAGACAAGAAGTTTTGATGCGGCGAGTTTCAAAGCTGAGACCGATGCCATTCCGCCCTGGGAGTACATGGCCTGAGCAGGAACTCCAGCTTCGTCACTTGGACTGAGGTTCAAGGGGTCTCTTTGGTATGTCCGTACCAAACACTCGTTGGTTCAAGACAGGAGGCATAGTATGCGCGGCAGAGATGCAAGAAGCAGGGCATGTAGGTGCAGAAGCCGTAGAAATCCTCTCGGGAGAACTCGGGCGGCCATTTCTAGGACGGGGTGTCATTCATGCAAGTCCTCGTATTTGGCGGCACACTGGACCATGTCCAACTTTGGCTCTGCATCGAAGAACTTGCAGTCAGTGAAGTAGGCCAAGCACACCCTGCAGAAAGCACAGGAAGAGAGGAGACCCAGTCTTCGGCCAGCGCGGAAATTGCTAAGAACAGGGCATGTAGAAAATCATGTTCCAGAACATCGCAATGAGCGGAAACTTGAAGACGTTCAAGCTGTTGGGTTGCACCTGCTCACCGCTGCCCAGCGGCGAAAAGATTGATCGCCAACGGTCACAGGCAGTTTTGTTGCAACAACTACCACAAAAATTTGACAACGGCCCTTCCTGCACCCTGCGACACACGCACGCATTTTGCCATCACCAACACGGCAGCGAATCGAAAAAGGACCTCTCCCCGGCCTTGTCCAAGGCAGGTACGGGTTCTCCCCTGATCGATTTTTCGACCTGCACAGGTCCGTCCATGGCATCAAGCCTCCCATGAACCATGCTGCTGGCCCCCCGCACGCCCTAGTGCTTTGCTGAAGAAACATGTGAAGAGACAGTTTCACAACCATGTCCAAATGACCTAATGTGAATTCGCCCCGTTACGAGGGTGTCACTCACTCAACTTATCTGTGCTGGCATTGCTTACATGCTTACTTCTTGCGTAATTGCTTACTTACCCACTTTCTTAGCCCTCGCATTCGGCTGGCTCACTTGCTTACTGGGTTTACTTCCTTGCTTGCTTGCTGGCTCAATCACCTACAAAGACGCTGACGTCCTTGCCTATCTGCTTGCTTACTTACTGATGTTCTTGCTCGCTTACGTCTATACCACTATTTCTTTTGTTGTTGGGAGGGCAGCACAACCGTATCAGCTTGCCGTCGTTAGCATGAGTCTCCTGTCTTCTTTTCCGCTCTCATCCTTCTTTTGGCATGTCCACGAGAAGTCCAACTTCCTCAAACAGCCAAGCTGGGCCGCTGGCTAGGCGAGCAACGGGTCCCGCACCACACCACACGAAGGCCTTCACTGCAACTGTTGGGGCAGCAGACCCTTCAGATTCCGGTTCCATGCTTGGTATACGAATTTTCAAGCTCGAGCTACTAGGATTTTGAGGGTATACAGCCATTTGCAATTATTCAGCCTGCAACGACGTAGTTGACATGATTGCATAGCTGCCCTTTCCTTGTACCACACTTTACCATACTAACATGCAAGAAGCATGTTGTGGCTTTGTGGATTCGTAATCGGACAGTTCTGCTAGATCTGTCGCTGAACCAAAGAATCAGTCGAAGCTGGCAGGCAACATGGTTCCCAAAGTCGCAGCCGCCGGCCTGCCAAACGCCTCGCGCAAACCTGGCACAGGGCAACAAGCGATGGTCGCTCTCTGCACAAGTTTTTCTTGCCGTGCTACTCACGTGCAGCATCCACCGCATTGAGAGGGCATCGTTGCAACTGTCTTGCAAACGAGCTTTGCAATTTCACGTGCAGCACATGTTTCGACGCTCACACTCGCAAAAGGCAGGCAAGGCTCCACATAGGTCACAGGATCTCAACTAGTGAATGCAGTGCTTCGCCATGGTCACACCCAAACATAGAGATATCAGAACCAATATGACTAGTGTTCAATCGGCAGCACTGCAGAGGTCGGCAATCCACAGTGGGACATGCCCTGTTTCAAAACCAAGCAAGTCTATCACCTTAACTAGCACAGGCGCTCAAGCCTCATTCAGCTTTCACAGCCAGGACATGCAGTGGCCATCACATCATGCAGAGTAAATTAGATGAATGCACATGTGCTACTCAATCTCCTTCCCACTCCCGCACAGCCAATGTGCCTACCTACTGTTCTCTTGCAGCTCCATGCATTGTATTCTCATGACTGCACGCACACTTGAGGCAGGCAACTTCTGCCTAACCACATCAACATCCTGCAACGATTCTGGCCACCTCACTGCTTCGAACGGCTGCTTTCCCGAGAAATGACTTTGTGGTGGGGGCAGCGGCAGCAGAATCCTCCAGAGATGTGTGAGAAAGCCAGTGGCGTGCATTGCCGGACAACTCACGGTGGGCTAGCTGATGTGCACCTCTTCCTCGCATTCGTTCATCTCCATGTCCTCGACTTCTACCGTCGGCTGCATGTCACGATCCTCCTCTTCAAGTTCCAAATCCCTCTCAGGTATCTGAACCTCGATATCTGCGCCAGTCCAGCCCGCTTCTTGAGTGATCTCCTCATAGCCGTCCGTGAGGAGCGACTGCAAAGCGCCGTGGAAGGTTTGCTGCTCCTTTGCCACAATGGCGTCCAAGCCAAACTGGGCCAAGGTCTCCTCCAGCGTCCTCGCCCCCCCGCCAGCACTGCGCTTCGCGGCATCCACCACCTTCGAGTCATCACCGCCGTAGCCGTAGCCGGAACGACCACCGAGGCCTGTCCAGTACAGGAAGGCGCGCCACACATAGCATCGCTCAAGGAGCCGTCGGAGTCCCGGGCAGCACCTGTATTTCGGGCGGGACGAAGCTCCACCTTCCGGTTTGCTCACCCGTCTTCTCTCTGCCTTTCCGCGGCACAAGGAATGCAGGCACCTCGAACAGAGGCCGCAAAAAGCCAACAACCAGCCAAAGGCAAGAAATGCCAGCGCTCCCTGCACGACGATGCTTCGCTGTCGCAACCTTCGACGCTGCTCGCAACGGAGGATTGGTCGGATCACTGCCCGGCCGCAACTGTCCACGGCATACTGCACGTAGCCCAAGGGACTGGCATAGTAGCATTCTCGCATCTGCTTGGCACAGGAGGGCTTCTCGAAGTGGTCCTCGAGCATGCTTTGAACTTGGGCTTCCAAGTCCTCCGTCTTCTTGAGGCGGGCAGCCAAAGCTTGGTAGTTCTTCTTGGCCTTGGCCTCCTCCTCGGCGATGGCCTCACCACTTTTGCTCCGAGGACGGTAAAGGCACGTGGCATAGATAGACAGAACCATGCCCACACCAATGAGGACGATCGATGCGATGACCTCGCTGCTGTGATGTGCGAAAGCACACTCTTGGCCAACCCCAAGGCGGCACAGCCGGAAGCCCGACTGCGGCGTCTCAGTGCAGATGCTGCACGCTTCATCCTCACTGCCCACGAGGGTCCAAACGAGGACGGCCAGGCCAAACAGCATCCAAGCAAGGCCGACGAAGACAGCGTAGCGGCGCTCCACGATCATCACACGGCTCTTTACTTTGGATGGGTCGAACTCCTTAAGCTGAACGCGCAGCTCGTCCGGAGACAGATTATTCTTCATGTGCACTGGCAAGGCCAGCTCGATATTGAGCTCCTTTCGACGCCTCTGCAGCCTTCGCCTGCGTGCTTTGGCCCTCAGTGCCTGGGCCTTGGCCCTCCGAAGATGCGAGGCTGCCAGCATCGCCTGGGAGGCAGCCTTCTTCTGCTTCTCGCCACGCCCCTCGATGAACCTCCGCTTGGACCAGGAGACCCGGTTCACGTCCGCATCATGCAAGGGATCCAGCACGCGCTCCATGACTGTCCGACCACAGATAAGCCAACACAGGGTCTGGCATGTTGTCCCCATCGGCACGAGGCAAGCATGGAACCCAGCGAGCATGCACGCCCAAAGCATGTCAGGGATGTCGCAAATGACTTCTTCCACGCTACGCTTGAACGCGACGACTCTGCGAAGCCGACGGCCGATCCGCTCATCAAACTTCTCCCAGATAAAGGAACGGATGAAGGAGGGGATCAGCAGAAGCCACAGAAGGTAGAGCGGGAAGAGAGCGATGCGAATCGCGAGCAGGACAAGGCACTTCACCACGATGTAGATGTCGAAGAGGGAGCGGAGAAAGAGCTTGACTCCGCGGTAAAGCGAGTAGAGGACCAGCACTGCTAGCAGCACAGGAAGCAAGCAGGACAACAGCGCGCTGCGGAGCCTCTCCACTGGGCGTCGCCACCGTTCTTCGGGGAACACCTGGGCAGGGCCTCGCTGGACTTCGGGCATATCGTCATCCGAGTCGCTGTGGTCTGTCTCATTGGAAATGGAGGACACTGAGGCATCTTCGTCCTCGTACTCGAGATCTTTGGTCTCCGCGTCGTTTTCACCGCGTTCCTCTTCCTCCACATCCTCGTCGAAGTCCTCTTCCTCCTCAGACTCTTCAAATCCGTCTGCCTCATCAGCATCATCTTCGAGGTCGTCCAGAGGATCCTCTCGGTACAACTCATCTTCCATTGCATGGCATGTTCGAAACCGGCACAACTTATTATCGATATGCGTCTGGAAGTTTATTCTTTGATTTGGGCAGTCGCTGCCCAAGCTGCAAGAGTTTTGTGGCTTGTGCCCATTTGATGGCATGAAATATGCCGTATCTTGCGGTTTGGATGTTTGGGCCCATAGAACTTGAGCCAAAATGGCTGCAGCACATGTTTAGGGGTAAGGCCCAAACGCATCGGACTGAGCGCTCGGCACAGGCTGATGGGCAACGGCTCGTTCCAGAAAGAGTAAGGAAGCTCGAGTTGCATCTGCAAGCCACCAGGTCGTAAGCCAAATGAAGACCTGCCGTGGTGGCCAGGAAAAAAACTTTTGCTGCCGAGGCCGCGGCAAGCCAAGTCTCAGGCATGCTTCTGCTGAAGGGCCTTATACACCTCTACGCAATGGCTACGCGTCCCGGCAGCTCACTTGAGAAGCTTCAAGGCTCTGGCCCACATTGAGTTTTGAATAAGCAGGTACCAGATGCTGAACCAAAGCAGAATATTGTTGTTGGTAAGCGCTCGCCTCAACAGGAAAAGCGCCACTAGTACCCCAATGTCTCGCAGCCAGATCTGCTGAGGCTAGCTCAATGGAGCGTTTGGAACAAACAAGAGGTCTGAGAAAACTGCACCTGCACAGACGCCGATGCGTTTGGCCAGCGACAGTGCAGGCGAGGCTCAGGAGCAGGCCGGGATAGGTATAGCAAACCATCCCAAGCAACCAGCCAAACAGCCAGGATGGGTAGGGCCTTGCAAAGGACACGAGAGTCCTGTACTTGTCAAGGCTTGCGGAACCATGGTATGCTCCGGGCTTGTCGGCGCTTTCTTTGCCTGAGTGGATGTGCCGTTCGTGCATCGGGAATCCAGTGGCTCTAGTCTTTCAACCATACCAGATACTCCCTTGTCCTGTGACTCGGCGACCTACTTCACACCCTCCGAAGAACACTGAGACAAGACGAAGGACTCGTGCACAGACTGTCGACTGCTCTCAGTAGAAAGCAAAGTCCTCGCCAAGGCTGCCACGCAAAACCACATTGCCGTAGCATGTGAAGCCGATCTCAGGCAAGCTCTGGTTGCAGTGGCGTCTATGAGTCTATGCTGGCTTCCAACATGAATGTGCACAATCTTTCCTGGAAGACTAGGTTGCGGTCCATCAGCGCAACTGGATATGACGTCCGTGACGCCAGTATTACATCCTGACAGTCTGCAAGAACGAATTGCGTGAGATCTGAAATGCCGAGAGGGACAGCTCTCCAGCAGTTCATAAACATAAAAAGTCAGACCAAGGAATGAAAATGCCCCGAACAGGCGACGGCGCACTGATTCAACCGCTTCCCAAACTCAACATACCAGCTTCGATTTCCTTATCCACTGGTTCCCGTGTCTCACCTGTCAGCTTGGCAGATGAACCTCAACAGCCTAGGATGCTGCCAAGATGCGTAATGCAACCATCCCAAGGGCCTGGGTTGACATGTGAAGAAGACCCCGGGTGTCGCCATCATGCCCCGAGTAAAAGGGGTCTTTTACTGACTGCGAGTACAATGTTAGGTTTGCCTACCCCCTCTTTGCCGTGCAGTCGTTTCCCTTCTCGAAGCTATGGACCTGTTAGATGCCAGCACACATGACGATTGCACTCTGTATCACTGAAAGATGTCGTCAACAGCACGCATGACAAATGCATCAGGTAAGACTTCAAACTGTATCACAATTCCAGTGGGCTGAAACTGGTCATTGACATACTGCACGACATTCGGAAGCGCGGCTTCAATGACGTCACTTGTTGCCAACACCACAACAGTGAGAGGAGCGTGTCCAAATTGCAGGCAACTGCAGCACTTAGCGTAAAAAGGACGTCAACGTATGCAGTCGTTTCCCTTGTTGCTGGTATTTTGTTGAGTCTTCTGGGCTTCACACGGGTTTACGGCCAGGACATGCGGCTTTGAAATATCAAGTTGTGGGTCAATGCTTTCATCACCATCGTCGGTCGAAGTGATTTTGGTCCACTGTGGCCGAGAGCTGAGCTCTGACACTCGCAGCCGCAAGAGACCCCGGCCCCTTCTTGTTGGGCACGTCGTCCTCCTCCTCCCCCTCGCCATCGTCCGCCTAGAGGCTTCCAGAAATTTCCAAACACGAATAGGGGTCTACGCGTCGAGATAGTTTCGGCAGCTGTGTTCGCCAGCACCAGCAACAAGATGGCTAATGCTCCCTCACGAGGATGACTATGACTATGAGTCTGACGAAGCTGGCGATGGCGCAGAAGCGATTGCGGCAGCGATGGCAGTAGCGGTGCCGGCAGCAACGACCACAAGACTTTTATCTGGCAATGATGGTTGTGGAATTAGCAGGTTTAATTCTGTATCGGGGTCCAAGTCTGTTTGATATAGCATGGAACAAGAAGCCTGCAAGAGCAGCAATGGCTTAATTAGCCCGGTACAGCTGCGTGTCAATGGTTATGGATGCATACCACGTCTGTCGGGGCCGTCACTGCCGCTGGTTTCTTCGGTGTCACCTTCCACAGAGAGAACGTCGTCCTGCCACGACATGATACTGCACTGCAGGACACTTTGGCCCGCTTGCCAAGCGGAGCTGCAGTGCAAACAAGATGCTGCCGCGCAGAGTTGTGAGCGGAGAGATGTCTGACCTTGGCATCTTTGCAGAACCCCTCCCATTGCTTTGAACTTGCGGCTAGCGGCCTGTGCTGAACGAGGTCTGAGCACTCGGCACTGACACACGACCACGACCTCCAATAATCGCTCCGCACTCTAGTGTGTGTGTGTGTGTGTGCGCAAGTCTGACGATCCAGCCTTTCGCGCAGCTGGGGCCAAGGCACGAGCAAAGCTGTCAGGAGACCGCAGCCAAGCAAGCGCCGCGGCCGCTTCTCCCTCCAGCACATCGGCGTGCATACTTCAACACAAGCCCAAAGATCCTCCCGATCTCGAAGCAACCAAGGTCGGCACATGGCGCGGCTGCCCCTTTCATGTGCAAAAGGAAACTCGGAAGGCATGCATCGTCTGTTTCATCTGTTTCTTGAAGCTTGCGACTGCCGCCAAGGCTCGGTCAAGGGCCGTCTCACAGCCGTGCCCCAAAGCTGAGATGGCCGCGGAGTGCCGGCAACAAGCAAGCTTCGCAGTGCATGGCGATTTGACTCGCATGGGCCCCCACAAAAGAAGCAACCAGAGCACCACATGCTGCAAGAGACTTCAAGAAGACAGACAAGCAGAGAGGATGCCAGGGAACGCCTTGTTCAAGAGCACGACCACGCTGTTGAGCTCCGTATCCTGGGTGAGTAGAGACTGGGCAGCCGTGGTGGCGGCCGGGGTGCATTTCGATTCGCGGTGAGAGGCTTTTTCTATCCGCTCTGAGGAGCGAGGAGCTGCTGCCAGGGGTGCCAAACGTTGCAGCGAGGCCGGAGCTCAAAGGCCATATTGAAGCGTGGCTCACTTGTTCGAGCCACGCGATGCAGGCAAGCGGGGTGATGGCCAGCACTTAGGCGCTCCAAGGTCTCGCCCACGATCACGAGGAAGCAGAAGGCCTCCGGTGCGCTGTTGCTGGGATCTTGGGACACTTGGGCGTCGGTACGCCGCAGGTCCATCGCTGCTTCCACATCCTGCCACTCCTCGTCATAGGTGGCAGGCAAGCCGGGTGCACCACCGGGTTCGAGGGGCAGCCGGACCTCCAAGCCCTTCCTGGTGCTACTGCAGCAAAGGACGGTCACGAGTCCCGGATCCGCATGCTGGCGGCATGGTTCTTCAGGATCTTCGTTGAAGTAATGGTAAAGATTTAAGACCGATTTGCCTTTTGCGGAAGTACCGGGATCCCCATGCCCCTGCTCGGGATATCCTTCCTCCCCGAAGGACAGGTCGCCGAAGTGGCTCTTTGCCGCCTGCGAGGGGAAGCCTTGGCTGTCGCACCATGCTTCCATCGACACCTGCGCCACTGCCTCCATCACCTCGAAGGAAGATGACAGGATTGCTGGGTCATCTTCGGCGGCATGGAGGCCATTGCCAGTGCGCCTCACCTGAAGCCGCTGTTTGAGATCTTTCTGCCGCTTGTAGTTCAAGCAAAGCCCTGTCGCTGCTGAGATGCCAAGGAGAGCCTCGGCGCGTTGCATGGCCAACCGGACCGGCCTGGCCACGTCCGCTGGACAAGAGACGATGGCGAAGCTTTGCCGGGTCAGCTCTTCGACGAAAGCCTTGGGCTCCAGAAACTGCAGACAGCCTTGGACTCCACACAGCTGATGCGCGTGGCGTGAAGCCATGGGCCATGAGTCGCAAGGCGCAGTTCGGATGAGCTGATTCCGGGCCTACTGGCCGGCGTCGTATGCATGAAGGATCTGGCTTAAGCTGCCGCCTTTCAGCGGACTTGTGTTTGTCAATTTCTGTGCTTGAGCTGTTGGACAAGCTCATGGCCCATGCACATGCTGACCACGGCTTTCCGCAACACGACATGGTCACATATGGTCACCCACGGCTCCTGCCAGTCATCGCCGTACCAGCTCGACACCTTGCAGGTCACCGACCCGCAAGTACTGCTACACTACTTCCTGTCATTCTATTCTCATAGACTCCACCGCAACACAACAAACTATGACAATCTAGGAACCCCTCAACAGTCATGCGGACCAACAGAACTTAGCTATGGCAACACAAGCCTCCATAGACTTGCAAAAGGCACTGCCCACACTCGCACAACAATGCTCAAGACATTCCGCTGCAGCAAAGCCCGAATGAGCACCCTGACACAAAACACGCGGCGATTAAACCCTTGGCCAAATCCAAAGCTTGCGACCTCTTGCGAAGTTCTGCTCTGAGCTGTCAGCTTTCACAGTTGCAAAGGGCGAAATGACTGAGGGCCTCACCAGAAGTCCGTTCTCGGGAACGAGTCCGGGTGCCAGGGGTGAGTTGTCCACCAGAACCACATCCTCCGACACAAAGCTTGGGGCTGTAACCAAATCCAGGCTCCGCAGTTGAAAGGCGATCTGCGTGCAATTGCGACCCATCTAGCCAGTTCGTCATACTTTCTGTTGCTAGTCGCTTAAGGTTCGGAGCTGGCATGCGGCATGCCGACGACCCAAGCGTGCAAAGATTTGGCGCTTGGAGCAAGGGCTTCGACGACTTATCGAAAGGTGTGTCCAGAGGGAGCAGAAAACATGGGGAAACGGGGTTTGCGCTGATGGACCGGAGCCACGATTTCGGCGGAGATGACCCGAGGAAGGGTTCGGTGCAAAGGTAATGCTGAGAGAAGCGCAACCAACGCACCGCGAGCGAGAGAAACGAGTCCGTCAACATCGCAACAAGCTGATCTGGCTCACATGTGTCGTTGGCTCCTACGTCGTAGGATGTTTCGCGCGAGGGTTTGCGGGTGTCTGCCCATGGCCTTCATGTGCCTGCCGAGCTTTCGAAGGTCCTGCGCTTGAGATCAAGCAAACGTATTTTTGGGGGGTCTGCTCCAAGCGCCATACGATGTGCCCGTCCTTGAAGTGGCCCCCGGCAATCTCGGTGCAAGCCTGTGCACAGCAGGGCGCTTTTGGGGGAACCCAAGTCATGTCGGGCCCGGACCTCTCTGTACAAGCGGTGCGCGATGAGAATCCGCCCTAGCAGCCGTCCCCCGTGGCTTCGCAGCTCGAAACCCTCAAAGCAGAAGTCCTGGATCCAGGAAGTCCAGGACCTTGTCAGCATAGATGCTCGCCGAGGCCGTGAAAACCACCACCTCGGTTCTGCCAAGACCAGAGCGATCGGAGCCCCCGGTCTCCACCCATCACGGGACTGCCTTCTTGAAGGACCACAGGGTCGCAGCAGAAAAGCCGCAAATCTCTTTTCTTCAGGCGCTCTGCCAGCGGGCTGCACCGGCAAAGTTCGGAACTCTGGAGCTTCTGGCTGCAATCTCCAAACAGCAAGAGCGTCTTGGGAGTGCAGTGCTGTGCTCATGACGCGGTTGCACCGGTGAATTAACTCATGAGCTATAAATCAGGGGCACTAGTCACTAGCCGTTTCCCTCGTGTCCTCACCAAGGCGCCTGCAGACGGAATTAAACAGTTGTGGCAAGCGACTTCTGCAGAGATTGGCACACATGGCCCTGCAGGCTTTGCCTCATCTCACTTGAGGCAAAGAATCCAACGCTAAGTTGCAGACATGACGGGTTCACTTCGCAAGGGGCTGCTGGTTGTATATCTGCTCGCAAAAATCCGAGATGGCCTTGGTGGAGTCAAAGGCCAGGGGCGCTTCGTGCCCTCTTCCTGTGTTGGTCAAGCTCCGCACTTTGTGGTCGGCAAAGGATCTAACCGTCGCCTAGCAGCTTCTCAAAATCGATAAAGGCTACGCTGCGCAAAGAGAACATTAACAAGACACTTTTGCGCTGCAAACGAGGCGGCAGACAAATAGGTCAACCAACCAGCAGGCCTCTGTGGCAGTGTCACCGGCCCCGTTGCCATCAGCCTCGGTGCAGATGGTATATCATCACGTCAATCTTCGAAGCTCGCACCACATGCTCTGGAAGCAGGGGTAGGATTAACAAACCAATCGTCGTAGCAGAACAAGCAGTCATCATCATCGTCGTCTTCAGCAGCAGGAGGAACAGTAGGAGCAGGGAGTTGGAAGTTTGGAGAACAGAGCAGCACAAGGACGAGCAAAGTAACAACGACTACTGCACTCACTCGGAAACCTTGCACTCCGAAGCAGTGAGGGCGTGGCATCTTGCAGCAGGGCGTTTGTTAAGTGGATGAAAGGGCCGAAAAGCAAGGCCAGGTTAACGGAGCCTTCCGCGACCTGTGTCAGCACAAAGCCAGGCACCCCATGTGCAAGGCACATGCTATGGTGTGCATCGACACGGCCTGCAGCGGGACGGCCTGTCCGGAACATGGCACGACATGGAAAGAGGGTGGCGACTAGCTGCGGGATCGTGCGTCGGTTGCAATCGAAGCGGATTTGCCTTTTGACCAAGCTGTCCCGGAAGCGCAGCCAGCTGCGCGGGCAGCCGGGAAGCAGCAGCGTGGACGGCAAATCTGCGAGCACAGGACACAGCTTACAGCATCTGCTCAGCCCTTGCTTTCGCACTCGGGGATGAAGGGCTCGCCCCTTTCCTAAACAAGGAGGCCAGTCCCCACCATACTAATGATGACGGCGGCATCGCCATACCTACCGGCATCGTCATCCCAGGTGACGTGATAACGGTGCTGCCGTGTCTGAAGACTGAAGAAGGAGCAACGGCACAGAGACGACCAGAAGCATCTTCAGAAACTTCAGAAGGCTTGAGGACGAATTGAGGCCACAGCCTGAAGACTCTCGCCGCCTGTGGACTGTCCAAGTAGTCCCTTGCTTCATCTAGCAGCTCCTTCGCCTGGAAAAGCTTGCGACTCTCACTGCTTTACGGACCACGTGAGAATGCGGGGTGCGTAAGGGTACGAAAAGAAGAAAGCCAACTGCTTCTGCACGTCCCGACTTCAGTTTCCCAGCCACGCGACAGTTCGCCTAGAGTCGCTTTATGTACAAGGCCTTGTGAAGCCATATGGGGCCGTCGCGTGTTGCAGTGACGATGCACAGTCGTGCGAAAAAGTGCGTAGTTGTCTCGGGTGGCTTTGACACTGCGCAAGGCCGCTGCAGATATGCTGTCTGCAGCTTTTGTGCAGCGTTTGCCACACCTCTCAGAAACCTGATCAGAATTCTCCTGGAGGTAAGGTGGCCTACAATGGCAGACAAAACTATGGAGTTTGGACACCACCTGCATCTGCAGTTGTGCTCCTGGTTGCACCAATGCCGCTTAACCAGGTAGCGTGACAGTGGCTGAGATCTTCATCCCTTAGCGGCCTTAGCGGTATTGGCAGAGCACAACCCAGTGATGAAGAGAGACGTCGGGAAACTGTACAGGGTCTCGGGTTCGTCTATGTACAGCTCGGAATGACATCCGGACAGCTCATCCACACCAGCGCCAAACTCGCGGCTTGTCAGTCAGGTCCTTGCAAGGTGGCACCGCGATGCAGGGGTGGGCTGAAATTGCTGACAAGCGCTCCTTCTCTACATCCTGCTGGCTATCGCATGATGTGAATTGTACAGTACTGACAGCACATATGAGGCTAAGACTAACTCAAAATCGATCGAAGCAAAGTTTCTTCTTCCGTAAAGACTGCCAGGCGTCTCTCGGTGTCCAACGGAGCTCCGAAGACTCGCGAGCCTTACCCACAGACCTCGACCAACGTGCGTGCTGTGGGCTTCACGATTGCGCACAAAGAAAGTCAGGGATGGCGCAACATGCCAAAAGAGTCTCAAGCGATGGAAGGCTGGAGCAGGCGGGCTAGCAGCCCTGGAATTCTTGGCGTTCGGCCCCAGATCGATGTACCAGCGGTCTTGAAGCCAGACCTGACAACAAATGCGTGGCATTCAAATAGGTCGAAGACACCACAAGCATCTGACAAACCGCTGGCCACCCGTCCTTGTCATCTCTCTCCGCCAGCTGGATGATGGCTGTCTGGCCGTCGTCACGGGTAATGTGCACGTCCGTGCCATCAACTATGTACAGCCTGGGAGGCAGAGACTGGCAATGCTTGCTCTGAGGCGTCTCTGGATTGAGCTCCCGGCAGATTCTCTAAGGCATCCTGCCACTGTCCCTGGACACCTCGGCGAAAGCTTCCTACTTGGCTTCTCGGCTTCTATCCATATGGCTGACCAACCTGGCCTGCGACGGTGGATGACCTGGGAAGAATCATGGGAGAGGCATCAAACTTGGAAGGCATGATGACACGGCTATACACGCCTGCCCTCTCAGCACCCTGCCAGATAACAGGCATTGACCATGAGTCTCCAAACTCTCCCTTTCCGCCTCTGCGCCAGACAGAGCACTTGCGATCAGCAGCATCAAACGGCACTTCGACTCTCGCCTGTGAAAAGGAAACTGGTGGCTTCGAGGTGCGCCCTCACGCCAGGAAATGCATCTGCCAGGAGGGCCGGCATGTCGTAGCCTTGGGTGGAGGAAGAATCGAAGCAAATTTGCGCTGAACTCCATGGATTCTCCGGATAGCCAGCAAGTAACGGTCTGGATCTCTGGATGATACCAGGTACAGGTGATCCACCTCACCAGCATGCGCTGATGACCCCTTGCTTCTGCTTGTGCCAGCTCTGGCCATGAGGGGTTGGCTCCATGAAGTCTATAGAGCTCTTGGCGGATGCTCTCGATTGTCGATTCCTCGGAAGAGCAGACTACCCTTCCACATGATCGTCTGGACAGCAACACGGACACCTCGTCGATTTGGTTGTCCTCTTTGTTGTTCCAAACATCGAGATCGATCTTGGTCCTGACCTGAATAAGCGAGCTCATTGCGCTGCAGAGTTCGGCGTGGGCTTGGGACTGGGGGCGGCACCATGAAGTATGGCACCTGGCACCAGCTCTCAAACCACGGTATCCAAGAAGCAGAAGGTCCGATGTCTGCGGCCAGGACACACCGCATGCCTCGAGCTCCGCACGCAACGCCTCGTCTATGGAGGTAAAGCGTCCCGCCGTGACAATCCTGGGACACAGCATGAGTCGCAGCAAGGGCCCTGCCAATGCTTTGGTCATGCATCCATGACTCAGGACAGAGTCAAAGTAGCGAAGGCCCATGTCACGGATGTAGCTGTCCTGCCCCGGCTCTCCGTTCGCAAGGCCACCGACCCAGCTACGAGGCTGTCCTTCGGGAAGCCGGGCGTCCCGGCACCCGGAAGATCCCACCTAAGAAGCCCAGGCCCAGGCCCAGGGGCCCAGGGACCGGCTGAGCAGCCCGAGCATCCGGCAACCGAACCTTCTCGAGCTGTGGGAAGGAATAGGCCGTAGGACCTCATTCCAATGCGGCTTTCACACCCTTCCAGAAACATTCCCATCGGAGAGATGCCAAGCTGGCGGCGTAGAGTTGTCTCCTTGACCCCTGTGGGTGCCCAGTCTGGGACGCCAGGTCTTATCCGCCGCATCTTGTTGATTAGAAGAGACTTCCCCACCTACGGTGCAGTGCTGTGGCAATCTTCGACAACAGCAAGTCTGAGAAGCCGTGCCCCGGGCCCCCGAATTGCCAACGACGGCCACATTCCTGCAGCTGAAGTCGTTGCCGAACGAGTAGAGAAGCACTCAGAGCCAAGAGAAACGTGCTGGCAAGGGGCATGGTGCCATCAGAATTTCTTTCCAGCCAACTTGGAATGGGATGACTCCTGCCAGCGGAGAGAGATCTGTCGGCAAACCAAGCCTCGACCACAGGTGCCGAGTGCCGACCCCGAGATGTCGTCAGAAGCTTGCCATCGCTGTTTCTCGAGCTCTAACTGCTGCACCTGTCCCAAGAAAAAGGCCCTCGACGCATGTTCTCGTCCTTCGATGCGCTGACACGGGGCCCGGGGTCCCATGCGGATCCATGCGCCTTGAGCTCGGCCTCACGGCGAGCAAGCTCCTGGAAGCGAGGCGGCGAGGCCGGGCTTCCGGGCTTCTTGGGCTTGAGGGAAGCTCGGAAAGGCCCCAAGTCCTCGCGCTGCGCTCCCAGGCTGTCTCGCTGCGCCAGCATCCTCCAGAGCCCGTTCTCTGAACAGGATCTCTTTGACAAAACCTGTGTGCCGCTTCGTGGCTCGTGCTGCAGCTCCGCGAGGCCTGCGAACTCAACACCACGCGAGCTGAAGCTGAGCATAGCTGAGCGCAGCTGGCTCCCAGGACTTGATCAGACCATCGCAACCCCACATGGCGTGGGGAACCGGGAATGCTACGCTCTAGCTGACATCAAGTTTCCGTCCAATGCGGCAAACTCACTTACAGAACTTGAGCGTCGCGGTTAGGAGAGTGTAAGTAGTATTTGGCTGGTGAGGGACCTTCAAACAGATCATGAGTCTCAAGGGGGTCCCGTCGAAGCTTCGGCCTAAGCTTTTGATTGCGTTCTAAGACCCTGGCGCAACGACACGTCGCGAAGCTGCTTCAGCTCATCGCCTGGGCCCAGGAATTGAGTTCAGATATCAGGGACCATCTCCCCGATCATCGAAACATGCAGCCGTGGTTCTGAGTCGGTTCATAACTTTTCTCCGAAGCGTCGACTCGCGTGGACGCTCTGTGTGGGGATTGCCTTCCCTTCGTCATCTGGTTTCAGAGTTTCTTGCATTCCGGGGCTCATGTTCAGAGTTCCAGCACGTGGACAAAATGGGGGCTTCAGCCTTTGGGTGTTCGGGCAAACGCGTCGATTCCATGAAAACTCTGGGCCACCCCCTGCTAAAATCAATTCAAGGATGCTAAACGCTTCCAGCATCATCGGAGCTCTTACCTTGTCTTTGTACAAGTGTGCTAGCGCTTGCACCGGGAGAGCACCGAACCTAGCTCGACTTGCGACACAACTCCTTCCACATCGCATTCTCGTAAGTATTACATGTGGATAGCAGGCAGTACATGAGGCTTTTCCAGCTCGCCATGCTGCACCGAAACCATCGGAGCCTTCAGATAAGCATCCATCGGCATGGGGCATGCCAAGCCATCGCGGCCACACTTGGCATGGAACATCTTCACCTCCACGACGTCGGAGAAGAACATCTTCACCATACCATCGCAGTCTGCCATGTGTTTCATGCACGGTTCGCACCCATCCTCTCCACTCCACAGCCAAGCCAGCAGTGGCAGCAGTGGCTGCAAGGGTTGCAATCACGTGACAAACAATGAATCCAGTGGTTGCGGGAGGCGCTAAAAGAAATGCGCCAGATTTCTGATCTGACTAGTGCTGTCGGCTTGAACCCTGTGAGCTTTGGCCTGGGTCTGCCCCAAAATAACAGCAATTCAGCAAGGCATCATGGCATGAACGTCACGGAGGCTCCTTCCAAAATGCTCCAAAGTGTCCTGGAGCAGCAGATGCTGAGCTGAGGCTTTGGCACAGTGGCGCTGCACGCAAAGGCCCGTCACCGCGCACGTCCAGGGCCTTTCGCAGCGCCTCCAGAAGCCTTCGAAGCGGGGAGGAAACAGACCCCGACACTTCGCCGCCATTTTCGGAATCTTTTGTGAGGGAACTTTATAAAACGGCATGCCAAATCCAGGCACAAAGCCTTGAGCTTCGACCTGCGCGGAGTCTGAGGCTTCGACTCTTCTTTGGCTAGGTCTTCCTCTGGCATCTCTTCGGCTTTCCGCCTGGAGCCAAGAGCAGAAGGAAACGGTGGCACAGAGCCACATGAGTCACATATTATATAATTATATATATATATAGAACATGGTGATACGAGATACGTGTAAAAGAATCTACGAAAGGTGTTATTCCATACTATGTTTGCTGCATTTATTCTAACCATGATAGACTACTGTTCAGGGGGTTTGGCTTTGCTTAATGGCTTCGCCGGGCTGATTCTGGCCTCAGCCAGTCCGCCACGCTCGGGGCGACGCCAAACTTGACTCCAGGGAGGCACACGGCCTCAGAGGCGGCAACAGCTTCCGAGAACAAGTACCCGTACCAAGGATGCTGAGGGCTCCACATCAGCTTCGGACTCCTTCACAGTCACACAAGACTGGAGAATGGTCTTGGCCCCGTGATTTCACCCAGCGGCGCTCAAGAGCCAAAGCAAGCATCTCGCTCCTTGGGCTGGGACTCCCAGGTCTGACCACACCTTGCACGGCAGGGAAAAGGAGGGGGGAGGGGGGGCTCAGACGGATCGTCTCTGGCCCAGGCCGATCCACCGTGGAGCGCCGCGAGCCCAGGGTTCCCAGGAGCTCCGAGGTCATGGCCGCGCTTCGGGATGTCGGCAATTTACGGATCCGATCGACGGAAGACCGCAGCGACGGGTCTTATTGGTGACTCGATTTCGCGCAGTCTTTAGGTCATTAAATACCCTGGCTCTATGACGCAGATGAGCAGCATGACAGAGGCATGCGTGAGGTCTATGGCAAGGCCTATGGTGGCTTTCATGGGGCCCAAAGTGGCTGCTGCTTTCCTCATCTGCACCTTGTCAGCCCGGTAAGTGGCAATCACACAACCCCCTCTTCGCCTTCTCGTTGTCCTGCGCCGGCGGCAGCAGCGAGGAGCCCTGCGAGACAAAAATCCCCCTTCTCTTTCGGCGGCGACCGGGCCACGGACCCATCGACCCATGAACGGCCTTCTGGTTCTCCCAGACGTCCTCTACGGGTCCAGGCTGATGTTGGGATTATCACGAGACTCTGGTCCGAAAAAATGCCAGCTCCTGATCCATGCGGTTGAAGACGTCAACAAAGAACGCGGAGAGGCTTTCAGCGTTGACCTGTGTCACGAACTGCCGAATTCAAAACTCTCATCAACTTATCAATGCCTGAACCCCGAAACGCGTGTGAGCTCCTCCTGAGCCCGCAGCAGTGGATTCTGGCAGAAGCGGCACTGCTTCTGCGGCAGCCTCTTCGACTTCACGGTAGAGTATTTGTAGAATGTTCAATTGCAGATGGTCTTAGCATATTATAGTCGAAGTCCGTCTAAGTGGAGTAAGAAGGGTTATGCCGTCACGCTCTGACCAGCTCGACGAGGTTCAATGTTCCAAGTTCGTGGGAATTAAACTCTTATGGCAATCTAAATGGTGATACAGTATATACTGTGGGTTGTTTCCACATTTTTGTGTTTTCTTGCCAGCTGCTTAGCCAACTGGTAATGGATCTTGGTTCTGGGGTTAAGGCTTTTCTGGTTTCCAGGAAGGGTAATCCGATCAAGGTCTCGGGTAGCCACTCTTGCCTTCGAGACTTGCGCAGTTGCAGATTCAACCGGTGTTCGACATGGGCTCTACAGAACCAACGCCAATTCTGCAAGGCCTGTACTAACACTAAAACACGCTGACTCCGGCGGGTGGCCTTTACGGCTTTTCGCGCAGCTGCGGCGATTCTCTCAGGGCCCTCTTTCAGGAAGTACTCCGTGGAGTCGATCAACCTGAGGGAGAAATCAGACAGAGACGGGCTCTTGCTGCCTCGGGTTCTGGCTCAGGAGAGACCTTGTGACTAACTTTGGTCTGGCTGGAGGATGAGAGTCTTCAAGATGCTGCCTTCGGAAATCGATGGCAACTTTGGAGCCTACGGCCTGCTTTCATGTGAGTTCAGTTGCTCCAACTCCACTTTCTGCCACATGCGGAATGGTGCTATGACCCATCTAGGCCGGAGGCTCCTTCATGTTTTTTTGCATCACAACGTCTCCGATCTTCATCTCGCCATTGGCCTGCACTGGGCTGCAATGGATTCGGCTTCAGGTTGGATTCGCAACCAGTACCCTGACTTCAATAGACTGGTACTGTGCAGCTCCACTGAAAGCTTGGCCTTGGAAGTCGGGCCCGCTCCTCCGACAGCCAGCCGAAACAACCAGAGAGGACTTCTCGAGAACGGAGACAGTGCTATCTGCTAAACCAGGCGAGAAAGTGATCACTCGAATCACCTATGACGAGACAAGCTAATGCTACCGTTCTGTCATCATCCGCGGCAGCAGGATCGACAGCATCATCGTCGTTGGCATAGTCATCACTATGGGACCCATACCGTAAAGCGATACAGGTTCCGTTGCCACTTCTGTTCACGTCTCGGTTGTCGATTTGCCTGCCTGGCTCCACCTCTCCCTGCCCTTTGAAACTTTGGCGTGCATTTCTCCTTCGGAACGTCCCAAGCTAAGTCTTGCGACCAGCCTCGATGCTAGAGGTTGCCATCCCAAAATCAACCCAAACCATAAAGAACATGCACAGGGGCGTCTCTACATTAGAAACGAACTCGTGCCGCCGAACACTCTAACGGCAAACTGTTGACCCTGTGTTGCATGCACGCAGGTACGTAATGGTGCTTGCCTGGGTGTGGAGGCCCATGTCTTTCTGTCAATGTGTACGCCGTACACTTCTGGGCCCCCTGCCTTCTCGGGAGAGTCGCCCCCAAGCCTCCCGGTGTGGAATTTCGTTACGGTCCAAGGTTTTGGGCTTAGGACGTTTAATGAATGCTTTGCTGACTCGTTTGGGGAGTGGTTTCGGCAGCACTCGGAGGCAAGCAATGCGAGTTCTGTCGGACAGTCTCATCACACAATGACTATTCACGGATTCCCATCCTACGAGTCCAGCTTTGCCTGAACTATGCCTGAGCCACTTCATTATTCTCTCGTCATTGGTCAAGGCCGCAGCGGGAAACCAAACAATCGTGCTGCAGATGGACGCTATGCAAACGCATGTCAGATCTTCGCTCAGAGACACCGAAGATGAGAATGATGAGAAGAGCTTCATCCAACAAAAGCCCACGGATCCACGGGCGGTACACTGATTTAGAACAGGGCTTCACGGGCACCCGAACTTCCAGGTGCCTCACGGCCAGCGATATTATTTATGATGCGGTGCAGCAGGAGGTTGACCTGAGCTGGCAAATCCTGCTGGCAGCCTGACTTCTGCGCAAGGCCAGAATCCAAGGGCCAGGCGTGGATCGAGTAGACTGCAGAGGCCAACAGAGACAGGCATTCCTCCTACAGGGAAAGACAGAACTCGGGAGTCCACGCTTTAAAGTCGCCTGCCGCTCCCGAGCCTGCAGCGCTTTAAAAGCAATGATCTTCTTGTCTTTGCCCTTGGCTTCCTTGACCTGCAACTGCCAGGACTGCTTTCGCTCTGGCCAGATCGTCGCCCGCCCGGCCTCCTGTTGGCACTTGTCAACCTTGAAGCAGCCTTGGCACAGACAACATAGACATAAACTGCGGCATGAGACCGGCAAAGACCGACACCCTCCCGTGCCCGTCTTCTGGGACACCGACCGGCATGCTTTGGCTCGTAGGAGCGCAGGCCCTTGCGCCTCGGAGGTGAATCGGCTCGCCGACGAAGTATGTTAACCGCAGGGGAGGACCCAGTCCTGCTTACCGGCTTACCGGCTTACCGTGTCCCGGAGTCTCGAAACGACCTCCCTGCTCTTCCTGCGAAGCCCCGGTTGAGCGCTGGGCGCGTAGTCATCGGAGACGAGCTGGTTCTCTTGAAACCGCACTCGACCCCTCTGCTGAGCCTGCACGGAAACATCCAGAGTACCCTTTTCTGCCACAGTTTCAAAACTTATCGGAGCTTTTCCGGATTCTGAGTTGGTCAAGGACTCGTCGCAAGCGGCAAGACCGACAGCTGCCGGCCTTATTGTCGTCCGAGGAACTCCCACCTGGCATCCCAACCGGAACTCCAAATCCCTACACGACCCCTGCAATGCGGAGGACGAAGAAAGTACAAAGAGCGCAAAGCACATGGAATGCCACTGAGGGCCCAGCTTTCCTGCAGGGCCTTCATTAACTCGTCAAACATCCGCTGCTGCGCTCTCGGAAGGTACACCTTGGAAGCTGGCATGGGCTGGGAATCGCACGAAAAGGATCGACTCACTTCCCACAGTCGATAATTGACTCACCTGTACCTGGTAGGACCATCGGCAAACAGAAGGAACGACCTCCATGACATCCGCTGATCCCTCGACTCGGTGTTCAGGGTGCACTTGGGCGGTTGAGACCTTGCGGCCTTGCCCCGAGAAAGCGGGCGTTGGCACGAAAACTGAGGTCTCCGCACGCAGGGCATACCATATCCCACCAGCGATGATGCCACTCGCTATGAGCTTCTTCCTGTCGTCATGCTCGAGTGTCTTCGGAATCCCTGCTCGAAACGCCCACACTGGATCAGCGGCCTGTGGCGCTTCACAAAGTTCCACAGCCCTCGGACGACCTTCAAGAACGCCATGGGCATTTTTCCCAGTCATAGACCCCAGGCAACTGCTGCAAGGCCATCTAGGGTTGACACAACTCTGCGCGTTGCGGAGCTCAAGCCGTGACTATTGCTGAATGCTGAAGCAAGCCCATAAACGCCAGATAGTTCTGTCGATGGCTGCATCAATAGGTAGTGACTAAAGCCTGTGTGACGTGCGCCGGCGGTGTCAGGTGAGGATGCACTTTCGCTCTGAGGGGAAGACGGAGCAACCCAAACGGAAGCAGAGCCTAGTCCCCTGGCAGACACCCCGAACACCCGGGTGCAGCCCAAGAAGCCATGATGAGGGCCGCTGCGCAGGGCCGCCGCACTGAGCCGCCTTTCCGAAGGAGTCCGGAGCACTGCAGAAAGGGCTCTGGAGCTGAAGATCCCCGCCTGCCAGAGCTCCCCTGGCCCCCAGATCGGGCCGATACAGCTGCGGAGGCTCTCCATGCCTGCTCAAACCTTCAAGACGCCACTTCAAGCGAGGATTCCTCCCTTCCAACCCCTGAAGCCCCATGAGTCTCCCGAGATCTCGCAGAAGACAATATGCATAGGCCGCATAGGCCGATTCTGACGATGTCTCCTCTTGGGAGCGTGTGCGAGTTCATGCTGGTGCAACGAAGGCAGACCAGCCTTGTGCTGGCGGACCTCTGATGGCAGCGCGTCGCGGCGACCCGTCATTCCGAGAAGTGAAACGTCGCCTTTATCCTTCGTCCTCGCATGGAGAGTCGAATCGGCTCAGCTGGCACTCCGTCCATGACCTTTCCAGGCAGAACCACGTAAAAGCACTTCTGCCGCACGTGCACGTAGACCAGCATCTGGTTCACAGATATCTCAACCTGTTCAGGAGAGACTCCTTCGTCCAAGTGGAACTGGAGGTCAATGCTGGACTGACGTCGCATGTGCAGGATGCCTACCTCACCTGGTGGCCACATCCTGAGGTGAGCCGCAGAAGCATGACCTGCCTCCAGTAAGGAGCTGCTCCGCTTGTCGCCAAGCTGGCACCGCAACACTGTCTCAAGCGTCCCGGGCCCGATGTGAAACGCAAGCACCTTGCTGGCATAGGCAAAATACTCTTCCAGAGGCAAACCGGCCCGGTTTGCACAAAGCAGCGCCTCCAATGCCCACTTTGCATGGTAGGCGTTGTGTGGCGCAAGCTCTTCCATGAGCCAACAACAGCGGCAGTAGGCTTGGGCGGCCTCTTGCATTCGACCCAAGTGTTCAAGGAGTGCCGCTGTGGCCACCAACACTGGCACGGCCCCGGCACCTCCAAGCAGCAACTTCTCAAGCCCCAGACAAAAGCCCAGCCGCCGAACCGCCTGCTGAACGGTTGCAGAAGCGCTCGGCAGCTGCAAGAGGGCCCTGTGGACCAGTTGCTGGATCTTCTCGGACAAAGCCTGGAAATCTTCCAAAGATTCCACCTCATCCATCTCCAGCAGCAGTGCCCTCACACGTGGTTCGGGGAGCAGGGCCGCTTCGACAACGCCACGATCCTCCCGCAACTCAAAGCCGTACCTCTTCCGGATCCCCGCCACGCGTTCGAACACCGGTTGCAGCACGGAGATATAACCGTCCGTAATCTCCTCTCCCACTTCAAGGTCTCGGGCTGCCCGGACGAACATTAAGTCACCAAGAAACACGCGTGCCGCAGTTGGGCGGCAGGAGTGGTTCACCAAAGATGCCGTCAAGAAGATGGACGAGAGCTTCCCGGCCGAGTGCAACTTCGCGACATCTGAGGTGTCGAGCTCGTGGGCGTTCGCGTCCAGTATGCCCTTGACCAATCGTCGGTTCACAGACCGCAAGGGCACAGCCGGCTGAGGCGGAGCGTCTCTCCGACGCATCCGACATTTAAGCTCTGGGAATTCTGGTAAGGGGCCGGGGTGCTCTGGGCCTGGCGACAAGCGGAAGAAGCTCTGGAACTCCTCGTCGGAGCATCGGCTTGGATCCTCCAACTTCCGAAGCGTCGCCTCGAGGAGCTTCCCAGGCTCCGCCACCTCAAAGGCCCGGTTCACGAAGAGGAGCTCCCCAAGCCCAACGTCCCTGGCAGCGACGAGGCCTCGGCCTTTCCCGGGAACCAAAGCCACCCGCACGGGGCCCAGGAACTCTCCCACATCAGCAGCCTGTCCCACCGGCAGCTTCAGGAGCTTCCCGAAGTCGTAGCACTCGGCATTCTCAGACATCATGTACCACTCGCAGACTACATTCTTAAGTTGGGGTTGCTGACACAACACGCAGGTCAATAAACAGGGTTAGCCCGCCGTCTTGGGCTGCAACAAGTAATAGGACCTCTTGTTTAAGGTATATGGTCTTGCGGAAAGTGTACAGGTCATTGTGACTAAAACTTCTCTCCTGGGACATGTCTTAGTCGTCGTCTCAACCCTCTAACCCGAAAGAGATCCGAAGCAAGATAGGCATGCGGCATAGAACGCACCGACTGCTTGCACTCGGAGAATTCTTCCAGCACGTACTGCATACGTCACAAGAAAGCATCTGCCATGGCCCCTGCTTCGAACTTCTCCGCTGCCAACAGCAACAGGCGACGAGCACTCGGCCTCACCTTAGCCGGATAAGCAGCGAAAATCTACAAAACAACTTCTCTTGACTTAAACCCGGAAAGAGCAGGATTTTCTGGTGTTCTAAGCTGGACGAATTCGACAGCTCTGAGGCTGCAAGTGTGGATCGTTCTCCCTTCGCGAGGCATCCATTGAGGATCCGTGCTGTACGGAGGGGAGAAAGAAGGGAGCCTTGCTTCACAAGTCCAGGCTCTCTGGCAGGTCCTGAGACGCGTCTGGTCCCTCATCGCCGTCGAACCAGTTCTTCCACTTCTGGATCGCGCTCGTCGGTCTCTGAGAGTAGTGATGGAGCTGGTTCAGCAGGATGCCGAGAGCCTCTACTTTGTAGAGCTCACACGTCCCCGCCCCTGTGGCCGTGTGGTGGACCAGCATCTGTGGGTAGTAATACCTCATAAATCGATGAAGAAATCCTTCTAGGATGAGCGCCTGTGCAGGAGTAGGGCACAGCACGACTGCCGGAAGGCTCTCGAGACGACAGCTGGTCGTCATGAGAGCCAGCTTGTACTTTGAGAGTCGTGCTATCAACTGCGACTCTCTTTTCGGCTTGGGCTCGTCCAGAGTCGAAGCGCCCACTTTGACGTAGTCGCTGAACTGTAAAATGTGGACCAGTCCATACTGCTTGGCATTGTAGTTGGTCCGACTGCGGAGCACCTCGAGGGACATGGACTCCGCAGTCGGACCAACTACAATGCCAAGCAGTATGGACTGGTCCACATTTTACAGTTCAGCGACTACGTCAAAGTGGGCGCTTCGACTCTGGACGAGCCCAAGCCGAAAAGAGAGTCGCAGTTGATAGCACGACTCTCAAAGTACAAGCTGGCTCTCATGACGACCAGCTGTCGTCTCGAGAGCCTTCCGGCAGTCGTGCTGTGCCCTACTCCTGCACAGGCGCTCATCCTAGAAGGATTTCTTCATCGATTTATGAGGTATTACTACCCACAGATGCTGGTCCGACGGGCTTCGGAGGTGCTTCCCGAAAGGTTTCGGAGGTGCTCCCCCAACGGGCCCGGAGGTGCTTCGCCATCTGGGTTTAAGGTTTAGAAGTGCAGTCCCAGCCGCGCCGCAGCAGCTGGCTTCTTCATCACTGCGGAAGCTGCAGCGGCTGGCTTCTTCTGAACATGGCGCATGATTCGCGGCTCGGCCGGAGCAGGAAAGTCTGCAGGCAGACGGCGGAGAGCTGCAGGCAGCTCGACGACTGCAGTCGTGGCCCTCTGCGGGCGGGGCAACACCAACGGCCGCCTCTTTGCCCAGTCCGCTAGTGTCTCGTACCTCTGGCTCCACCTCTGCCTCTCCTGAAAGTAAGCGTCCTGAATGCCTTGTATAAAGTGCTCCAAGACTGTATGCCAGAACCTGGGATGAGTCAGGTGCGACATCACGCCGTCTGCCTCGCGACTGTAGCAGCCTGGTTGAAGGATCAACAAGTACAAGCTGACGACCCGTTGTTGCGCGTCGGTGGGCAGATCGTTCAGCTTCTGACCGATGCGACACTCCTCAAGAGAAGCCGGAATGCTCAGCGGATCGTGCAGCGTCTTTGCGAGCGGCTGCTTCCTTGGTAGCTCCTGTTGCAAGACCGCCTGCAGCTCTGCGTCTGCCATGTCTGAAACAGTCTGGTTAGAGCAAGGCGACATCATGTACGGATCTCGCACAGCAGGACTTGCTGCAGAAGCTGCTGAAGACGTCTTCGCCGGGCTCAGCAGGCCTTCCAGGGGCTCTTGCCTGCGCTTCTTCTTGACTGGAGTCACCGGCGACGAGGGAGGATCCAGAGGCGTCGGTGGGTCCATCTGCGTCTCTGCCACAGCCTCTGGCTCGGCATAGGTCTCAGCTTGTGTCTCTTCGCAGAAGTCAAGCGATACCGGATTATCCTGCGACTCCATCTCCATCCCGAGCCCTTACACGTCCCCGCTTGAGTGGACCTAACAAAACTGAAACGGCGGACAAGCTTGCTCGATGTTTGCAAAGCACATGGGCATCCTACGGTTTGGATTGCTGTCTCAACTTCGCAGGCTCGCCAGCTCACATCCCCGTGCAACGACACTCTGTCAGGAGCATCGGAACTGAGTTGAGCACGTACACCTTGGCCTTCATCACGACCTAAACAGGTTCACGATAAGCTCCATCCAAGTGGACGATGCTTCCTGAATATATCTCCATTTCCCGATCAGCACTATATGGCTGCACATCCATTTGCAAGCCTGCGCAGCTTCTACAACGTGTCTCTTTCTTCTTACGGGCTTGCTGGCCGCAGGTTTTCTTTGAGCGATAAATGCCAAAGCGTCTATAGGCAACCTTGCCAGTCGTTCCGCGTGCAGCATGTATTCACACACGTAGGTATGCAGATGTGCAGGCTAGCAGGAACACAAACACATTATGCACGCGTGCATGCCTGTGATGCAGGGGCATGCTGCCTTAGGCTCACCGGACTCGAGCTCCAGGTCCAAGTCGGCACTCCTGGGCGATGCAACAAATCACTGCCCGAAAAGAGATCACCTCCTTAATCGCTGCTGGCGCTTCAGAACCAACGTCTGATCCCGATGCTTCGCGCACAACCCTATTTCCGAGGCTGCGGCCCTAAGCTTGGAACTGCCTGGCAGTGGCAATGCACCAGAGTCTCCTGGCCACAGCCGAGAGCTTTCACTGACATCGAGGCATGTCCACCTAGATGCCCTCACGTAATGCAGTCGCGCTGCATCCAGGTCCAGAACCAGCGTCCGCCTGCCGCGATGGGCCTTCATAGTGCTGCGACTCGGAAGTGGGTATTTTGCCAAGTAGAAGACGACATCTTGAAGTCTCATCGGAACAGCTTGCCGCTACGACAGGCACCCATGCTTACCACGCATCCACATAGGCCTTCAGATGGTGATCTTCAATGAAAAAGCCGTGCGATGCCAAGTCTTTTCTAGACAATTCTGAACAACACCTGTATTGCTCATCAGCATCTGCACACTTGCTTCGGTTTGCATTTCCACAGCTTTCTGGAAGACAGCGCAAGGCTCAATGGGTCGCCTCCTGCTGCGGAGGAAGCAAGGTTGGCTGCTGAGCAGCCAAAGCATCGGTGACAATCTCAGCGCGGATGCAGAACTATCCACCCCTCACCCCTCCCTCTAGAGCGCACACTACAGCACCCGGTTCACCCTGCTCCCACTTCAACGTTAAAGGCGAGGGCATCGCATGGGTTCAGAAGAACAAGGAAGTCAAGGGCAGCCTGTCGGCAGGAGATACGTGCGCCATGTCCTACGCGATCGGATGTGGGCACACAGTCAGCTGCGCCTTCACTTGCTGCGGCAACAGGTTCAAATCTACGTCCTGGCAAGGCTGCTGGCAACACTCGATTGAGAAGACGGCCGCATCAGCACGACTCAAGCCTCAAAACCCTACAAACTAATTTCCTGAACTCTGACTCTAACTGCTCTAACGTCAAGTCTCTTGGACTATACCCTTCGCTCCGACAGCGAGAGCCGCGGCATGGACACCTCAGCTCGGAGCTTTCTATTGGGCTTCGGCCTCGAATCCTGAAGATGAGCTTTCGAAGTCAGCTACATCGTGCTACTCCGCACTTCTATATATATATATATATATATATACATATATATATATATATATGTATGTATGTAAGAAGCATATATTTATTTATGCACACATATACGTGCACGGACGGACATGGGTGAAGAGAGAGAGAGAGAGAGAGACAGAGATAAAAATACACATACAGAGAAAGAGAAAGACAAAGAGACAGAGAGACAGAGAAAGACAAAGAGAGAGTGTGTGTGTGTGTGCGTGCTTGCTATCCACCACGGAATTGCGACAATTTTCTTGTGCCGAGGGGGCGGAGAAGTCGCGCAAGGGAGGCCGTGGTGGAGCGCGGCTCTCCTCCTCGAGGGCACACGAAGCCCACACCCCTGAAAAACTGCACAAGTACCAAGTCCGTAGAAACGAAGGACCCCAATTTCGGAAATTGCATGACCTGAAGACTCAATAGATGACCCTGCAAGCACCTTCGGGGAGTTCTTTTGGCTCGCGGCTGTCTTCCACACTGGCGTCGCACCTGTCAACACATGCCCCTGCACATCTGAGGCCGAAGCGACAAGGCCATCAAGTGCAAACCTCCAGATCTCAAGCAGGCTTGCTTACAGGATCGTGCCATTTTTCAGAGCTCGCAAACATGGTTTGGCATCCATGCCACCCCAAAAGTTTCTTGTATTCGTGGGCAGCTCTTGCATCCACGAGGCTCGGACTGAAACGACATTTTGCTATGTAAGTTTATCTGGAATGCATCACTGCCCACATGGAAACCCGGGCTCTATATACAGATTCCGATAAGCGGTAGTGTGGCGGTCATCGCAAAGCAATCATCCGTCAAACGCCTACATACCTGAGCGGCCTCCTGTCAATAGCATAGAATACAGGACACTTGTCACCAGCTCATCGTTACAAAAACTGCCATCAGCAGTAGATAGCCGAAGAAGTGGTGAAGTCAGACAAAATGGAGGTACTGTGTTCAAGATGCACGCAATGACAGCCGAAAATGGGACTCGCAGGTTTGTGCGACCGAACGCATGCACGAAGGCACTAGTAGCTCCATGCACAATGTCACTGAGAAAGCAAATCAGCTAAAGAAGACCAGGTGACCTCAACATGCTGTAAAGGACAAGAATAACGGGGTCGAGGCAACATCGTCGTCGAGCGCCCATTTGTCGAAATCGTCATCCTCGTAGTCGAGTCGAAGTTGCAGGACCACCGCGCAATGGCTGCAGCATCAGCACCAGCAGCAACCAAGGAGCAGCTGCGGGCGCGAAAGGCCCTATCCACAGAACATCCGGATGAAACCAAGTTCAGTGCTGCAGACGACAACAACAACAAAACACTTGCCACAACTACCAAAAGCGATTGTTTCGGAAAACTCGAGTGGAGGCTTACGACGGGCAGTCGTCGTTGAGGGTGGTTTTCGTGGTGACTTGTCTGCTACCCGTTCAGTTCGCACGAGGCCGCTAGGGGACCCACGGTTGTGGTGTTGGTGACAGCAACAGCAGCTTCACGAAGCAGAAATGATGGCACAGTATCACATCCCACCAGCATCACATTATTCGTCATCATCAGCCATCGTTATTTATCGTAACTGCAGTCCTAACTTCCACCGAGCACAAGAAGCACAGCGAGACATGAAATTCCGCAAGACTGATCAAGACGATTGTGCGAACACAGAGACTATCACCATTACTGTCTAGTCTGCGATGCTAATAGTAGTTAGCACCGACCCGAATTCGACAGCTTCCTCCCGCCCTCCGACCCATTGATCCGACCTCTGGTTTCAGAGTTCAGATCTCTGGATTTCGGGCCTTCAAAGGAGCGGCTTTCTCTAAGCGATGCCCAGCCACAAAAGATGTGAAAAGTTCCGTGAAAACCGAAGCGATGGCATCTGGCTACGTGCCACAGGACTCCCTGAACCTACCACGCTTCTGCTGTGCACGCTGCTTGTCTCCGCCGTCATGTGCTTCTCGGAATGGAATGCTCCAGCAGTCCTAAACCCTCAGCCCTAAACCCTACCCGTATGGCAAACAAGCCGCACGCGTCAGCTTTGGAAGGCAACCGTGTCCTTTGGACTCCAGAAAGCCCAAATTCCTCTGAGAGGAACCCCGGCCGATACAAAAAATTCTACAGTGGGAGGGCCTCAAACGGTGAGGAGGCAGAAAAGTTTCCTGGGCGAGCGCACGAAGAACTCGGACGTAGCAGTTACACAGCGCGGACTGATGACGCAAAATGACACAAATGTCAGGAACTCCAATCTAGGCCGAGGTCATTTGCAGATCTTGTGCTTGCCAGCGACGGGTTAAAAAAAAAATCGCCAGAAAGCAGACGTGGGCTCCTTAGAGCAGAGACGAGGCCACTAAGCTCGGAGGTCGGGGACATGGACATCCAAGCCACCATCTTGCCCTGTTTGCCGTGAAAATTTGGCCTCCAGGCAATCAGATGAAACTACGGGGGGAAGTAGGCATGAAGCATCGCATCTTCTCGCCGGCTGTGCAGTGACTATGTTCCGCGCCCTCGCCTCTGGGCCGACAGAACTCCATGTTCACCGAACGCCGTACATCGAAGCTTTTTCAGCGACCTACTGGAAGTGGTCCCATGTTTGCCATGACACCTGTGGGTGACAAGGCCGGCTGCATCAAGGGTGTGTCATCTCGGAAGTGACACACTTATTCACTACGTGCAATCTCCGTGCCGCCGCGAGACCATGAGGACCCTGCGGCGGTACACAGACCTGGAAATAGTTGGGCTGGAGCTGCGCGAAGTGCTGCTTCATCTGCATCTGCTCCATTGACATCACTTGAGGAGTTGCCGGTGTCAGCATCAAAGGAGCTGCACCTGTCCGAGCCGAGGCAGACGATTTCACGCGCAGACTTCCGTGAAACCGGGCAGGCCTGGCTGCTGTATCGTCCAGATTTGGTTCCCACAGTGGCCACAGAAACGCGGCGCTCCGCAGTGATTACAGTGGTGCCCATCCGGATCGCCACACATCCCCTGTGGCATCAGGGGCTGCTGCATGCCTCAGGGGAGAAAAAGAGCCATTCTACGCACACAGATTTGTCACACTGCAGGCAGCGCAAGCAGCAGGTAGAGAAAAGGCCTCCCGGGCTGCCGTAGGACGATGATGGCGATGCCATGCATGTAGGAGTAGAGGACAAGACACCGAAGCCGGGAGAGTTTGCTTGCTGCTGCCCCTGCAGGACCAGGATTTACAGTGGTCCTACCCATGCCAAGTGCCACAGTGCACACATCCCGTCCCTCTCAGTCTTGCTGAAAGGCCTGCGAAGGACTCCAATCGGCTGCCCCCAGCTCACTGCCACTCTCGAAGACCTCACCCGATGCGGTAGTCGTCCCCGGGCTGGCATCCAGGTTGCAAAGCATAGAAACCTCGTCACTCACGTGCTGTGCTTCTTGTTCCGGCTAAAGTCTGCACACAACGCTGTCTCATTCTTTCTGCCTTTCTTTCAAAGGATTTCTTCGCTCAGAAAAGAGTCCGACGCTGGTATGACACGTACGCAGCCTGCCTCGCTTCAAACTCAAGTCCACCCCGTGCACCCGTCAAAGCAGACTAATCGCGACATGCACAGCACACAAGTGTCCTACCGCACACGCGACGAACGACTCAGGATGCGAAGAGCTGCAGGCAAAAGCCCGAACAACCCCCAAAAGCATCTCCATGCTCCAACTGGCGCCTTCCTGCAGCTCCTTGCCTCTTGTGGCAAAACAAGACAGGCGCATTCTTTCTTCCATAGCTCTCTTCTTCCACCTAGCCCAAGGACCCCGCCTTCCCTGCGTGCGCACGTTCCCTCGTCTCAAGGTCTTGTAGCGACAAACTACACGATGAGGCCATGTGCTGCAACTCTGACGAGGTCTCTCACTCTCTTGCTTGCACTCGGGGTCACCCCCCTCGCGCGCATGCGCGCACCGGTCTTCTCGTCTCGCCTCTCTGTCTCTGTCTCGCTCACCGCACACGTGAGCTTCCCCGCGGCCAGGGTACCTTCGAGGAGATTTTCGCACATGCATCCGTTGCTTCTGGCGCTCTGTAAGCTTCGGGGTTGGAGAGGTACTTGCCCAACTCCTGCGCTGCTGCGACTACCACGTCTTCCAACCCAAGGATGAAGATCAGCTCTTCTTCCAGCCGAAAGGTGACGCAAAGGACCTGGCGCCACAGCTTCTGCAAAGATCTCAAACCAGTCAGAGGCACAGTGCGCTGGCCATCGCTGGCGCCTGCGCCATCTCGTTGAGGCGGTCCAAGTCGAGGTTGCTGCTCTTGGGGCACGGGACGAGGCGCTCCATGCACATTTTTTGAAAGTCGTCCAGAAGCCGGTCGGCCACTGCAGCGGCTTCTTTGGAGCCGAACAACCTCACTTCAGACCTGGATCGCTCGATGTGCAAGCGACAGCCGCTTTGGTTCTGTATCCGCTGCAAGGCTACTCCATCTTCTTGCCCCGTCCTGCCAGGAGTCAGGGGGTCCCAGGCAGCCATGCAACCACTGCAACAAAATCCTGGCTCCTCGTGCGCATAAGCTCTGCCCAGGCGGCACGGGAGATCTCTTTGCGAGGGCCCATCATGCTTTCCAGCTGCTGCTGCACTTGCTGGATGGCTTCTATGGTGCCAAAAGCCTTCAACACGCCACGGCCACGGTCAAGCTTCACGGTGGCATTCCTGGGACGTGCCTACCCCACCGCTCCGTATGGATGCAAGGCGAAACATGTGGACGCAACATTTGCAGATCGGAGTGCTCGCATTTTGTGTCACGGTCCTATTTCCGGCAGAACAAACGCGGCTCAACGCTTTTACATCCGACTTGCTGTGCGCGGCTCCATGTTCGATCGCTGTGATATTCCCTCACCCCTACGTATGCCGCTCCCCTACATCTCGATGAAAAGATATGGGCCAGAAGTGCGAGTCGAAATGTCACTCAAACCTAGTGAAACGCAGGCCTTTCCCGTCCTTCTCGCGACCGGCATTGCTTTGTCATCCCAGTAGTTCCAAACGTTAGAATCAGAACTCGCAGCTACTGAGTCTCATGCCAAGCACTTGCTACACGTCACCGGACCTGTTAGCTCGGGCTCCTGGCGATGAGACCAATACCCATGGACATGGGGTCGGTCTGGTTGGGCGTGCACCGAACTACCCACGAGGACTTACCGAGCTTAGACAGTTGCCGCCCAGCATCGTGGCTTCTTCGATCTCTTGCAATCGGCGTCGTCCACGACGACAGAACCCATTCAGAAGACCGGTGTCCAAGCAGAACTCGTGCGACGTCTTGTAGCGGTCTGCTTGGAGGTCCTGGCACGGCCCCGCACCACAACCTCAATGCTGCTGACTCTGCGCGGCCCTCGAGCCTCGAGCCACCCCTGTCATTAGACAAGATAAACAACGTACTGCACTGTGGACAACTCTACTCGAAAGTCTCTGGCAGCTTGCCATGCCACCTCAGGTCGTCAAACCGGCAGAATCAAAGACACCAGTGTGTCCGGCAAACTGAAGCAAGGACCGCAACCCAAGCAAGTCAATCATAGGTCGGGCTTTAGCATCACAACCACGTCACGAATTGCACTTCCCTAAGGAACGGGTGCTTTTAAGGTCGTGCGTTTTTTTCTGTATTTTTTTACCGTTTTTTTTTGTATTTTTTTCCGCTTGCCTGTTCCTATAGGGGTACTACAATCCTCAAACCGCGGGCTTTTCAGCACCTCTCTCACAAATCCTGCCACGCTTTGCCCTTCGGGCTCGTGGAAGTCTTTCCTCAGCAGCGGTTTAGGCTTTTGGGTTTTGGACTCTTGTGGGGTCGCTGTGGCGATTCCGGGTATCATATATCTTAACCCCCCCCCACTGAGCGATTCCGGTTTATCATAAATATATATATATATATATATACATATACATATATATATATCCTTTTGTTTTGAAATTCACACACGCCCCTCATTTGGCGATTCCGGCTATCATATACCTTAAACACGCCCCCCGATTGGGCGAGTCCGGTTCAGCATATGTATATATACATATATACATATATATATATATATATATATATATATATATATACACATACATACATACATACATACATACATACATACATACATACATACATATATATATATATATATATATATACACATGTGTATATATATATATATTATTTATCTATATAAACACGCCCCTCATCTGGCGATTCCGCCTATCATATAATATACTTTCAACACGGCAGACCAGTGAGGTTCGTCACCTATAAATAAACAAGTATAAATATTTAAATACACAAGTAAATAAATAAACAAATATATATATATATATATTAATAAATAAATAAATAAACAAATAAACAAATAAACAAATAAACAAATAAATATATATATATATATATATATACTTGCTTGCTTGCCTTTGCTTCCTTCCTTACTTGCTTCCTTTCTTGCTTGCTTGCTTGCTTGCTTGCTTGCCTTTGCTTCCTTCCTTCCTTCCTTGCTTCCTTTCTTGCTTGCTTGCTTGCCTTTGCTTCCTTCCTTCCTTGCTTCCTTCCTTGCTTGCTTGCTTGCTCTCTTCCTGGCTTGCTGGCTTGCTTGCTTGCTTGCTTGCTTCCTGCCTTCCTTGCTTGCTTGCTTGCTTGCTTGCTTGGGCAGGCGACCGGAAAAAAATACCAAAAAAAACTGGAAAAAAATACCGACAAAATACCGCCACCTGCTTTTGGGCGCTCTAGAGTTCGCACTCCACACTGTCTCCACACACACAGGAGTGTCCTCCTTGAAAAACGGTCTGGAGAAGGCCTTGCCGCAGCATGCAGAATGCAATCGACAATTCGCGCGATTTACTTCAGAGAAGCTTGGGATACTATGCCTTTCCCAGCACTTCGCGTTTGCATCGCATGCCTTCGGTTTGCCTCTCTGAGATCCTGAGAAGTCAGCAACGCAACCTCACTGTAGCTCTTACGAGGGACGTTTTTGACGAGAAAGCGGACCGATCCTTTTTCAGTTTGGGGCTGTGGATACCACACAATTGCCGCCACACAAGGATCTCAGTCTGGCTGGTCACACTCGGAAATTCTGTGCTGTATGCATGGCACCGCTAAGTAGATCGCATAGATCCCACATCAACGAGCCATTTCTGCAAGACATATAGTGCAGGTTGATTCTGTTTGGGTGCCCATGGGTCTGCATGATTGTCAGTGCGCGATACGGCGGAGGCGCCAGCTGTGCTGGCAAACGGAAGCAGACCCACGCAGAAGGTTGACTGCTCACTAAGTACTATGCAGAAAATGTGTGCCACGCGCGCCTTCTTTGTCGGCGGTGTCTGCTGCATTGCCGGTGACTGCTGCATCTGCGGCATCAGCATCGGCCCCGTCGTCTGCAGGGGCTGCATCTTGTTAGCTGTTTTGGGAAAGATCGCCATGGCTTTGGCCTTGGCCTGTACACTTCAACTAGGAAGTGCTGGCAGCTGCGGCCGAGTACGGGTGCCAAGACGCAAGCTGTGGATGCCGGAGCAAAGCGTGCGGTGAGCGATGGAATTCATGGGGCCCCCCTGAACAGAGAAGCTGTGAGGGCTGTGAGGGCTGTGAGGGCTGAGGGCTCCACAGGATCCACAGCTCAGAGCCAGGGCCGACCTTCAAGGCGGAGGAAGGATGCACAGCTCTCCTGGGATGCAGAGCTCTTGAGAGCCAAGCTCGGGGAACGGGTCCGATCCCTCAGGGAAGGTGCCCGCCACCAGGGCTCGTTGAAGTCGCGCCCTCTTCCTTTCCGTGCCTCTCGAAATTAATCGCACCGGGAAAGGCTCTGCCTTTTCAAGGTCTTCAGGTCTCAGGGTCGGGCTCTCGTCATCGCTGTCTGAGGACTCGCAGCGCTTGTGCATTGCATCTGCTCCTCTACCTGACGACACCGAGAAAATTGCGAAAGGGAGCCGCAGAGGCTACGCAGAGGAGCTGCAGCTGCCTGAAGTCCATCTGCAGTCCCATGCTCAAGAGCTGGATTCTCAAAGCAACTCGTGCAGGGAAATGGGGCGGGACAAATGGCTCAGTGTCCGCAACGCATGGTACCCCAGGCTTCGCTGTGAAGCCGCCGACATGCCAAATGTCCGCGGGTTTAGGTCGAGGTAGCCTAGCTGAGCCTGGCTGCAACTATGGATCGTCTGAGGGCGTTCTGCATATCCATGCTGTCTTGTCTCTGTTCTGCGCGCCTAGGTGAATCATGGCATCGGAAACAAAGTTCTGGTACTCAGTTGAGAGGGGACGTGGTGCAGATCACAGAGAGCACCCCGAACCCCCAACCGAGCTTCGTGTCTCGCGCGCCATTTTCACCCACTGAACTCAGAGAGCTCGCTGCTGGAATCCTCGGTCACGGCCATCCCATCAGGCCTCCGCCTGGCACGACAAAGGCTGCTCTCGCTCTCTCTGCTCTTGGCATCTAGCAGAATCGCCTGGTCCCGGTTTTGTCCTAGTTCTGTGGTCCTCGTTCTAGTTTCTCCTTCCTTTGCTGCCACCGACTGCTGCCGCCGCTACCACAACCAAGCCATAAGACATGCTGACTTGTTTTGCAGCCTGCGGTTGATGCTTTCCAACGGATGCCAGATTTCGCTCTAGCTACCACTTCGTGAGAGAGCGGGCGGGTGCCAGCTGTGATGGCTGCATGTCAAGCGCAAAGCTGCCGGGATTGCCACCCCTTCCTGGTCATGGTTGAAGGCGTTTCTTTTATTTGTGCCCAGCGAGCCTCATCACGGCGTAGAAGATGAAAGGGACGATCAATGCGATGGCCGCGAGGACGGCAATGAGCCACCAGAAAGCAGACTCGGCATGAGAACCATTGGAAGTACCATCCTATCTACGAGTACTAGGTCTGCCCACTGTCCCTGTGTGTACGACGACTGTGGTGTTCATCGTTGCCGTGTCAACAAAGAGCGCCAATCGAAAAACCATCAACTTTGCCATCGATGCTGCCAGTGGTATGCCATTAATATCAAGTTGTCGCTGCTGCTTGGCCAATGTTACCAACAATGCTGCCTGCGCTGTACCCGTTTTCAAGCTTAAGCACTGCAAGCGCTGTTACTGTCACCGTCTCCCTGCCACTACAACCACTTCCATCCTCATGGCCATCCCCACGAAACACACACAGGATCAACCCGGTCGCTACGAACCTGACGTATCTCGGTTATGATATGTAAGGGAAGCAATCCACAAACACAAACCGTATGTATCGTCGCTGTCAACAGCGCTAACATATTTGGTGCCTTGTTGGAGCACCAAATCAATCTTAAGTGCAGTTCTGGTTGTTGCTGGCGCCGCCACTGAAATTGTTGCTGGTTTGCTCCTAGTGGCATCAGAATGACTGCTCTAAGCATCGCCTGCGTCGCCGCGGAAGAAGTATCGACTCATCATTTCATGTCAGAAGCCTTGTAGCTCCCTGGCGATCACGACTGGGACCCCGGCCCACTGACGCGACGGATTGGGGGAACCGCCTGGAAGACGGCAAGCTGGCAACCATCTTCAGAAAAATCATGAACCGCAGAAGCGTCAGCATCATCTTTATGAAGTCTTCGGCAACTCCCCGCACTGAGGACAAGCTTGCTGCACCGGCCTGCAGCTTGGGGAATCCTCATCGGGATACTCAGCTTGATGTCTCTGGAAGACCTCCAGTTGAAATCCACTCAAGGCTAGGTAGGATCTGCCTCCTCCTTGTGAAACTACATGGCAAGAGATTCCTTCTGTTATCTGGGGCGCCAGCTCCCCTATCAGGGCGCGAAGACTGCCGGGCATAATCCTGGGAGGGAGCCACCCAAGGCCAGCCGCAAGGAGAACCGAACTGTAAAAGGCGGTAACTCTCAGTTAGAGCCTTGTCCACGGCCCACTTCTCAACATCTCTCAAGGCTTACATAATGGGTGAAACAAAGATGGGGTGTTGGACGGACCTGGAACAACCGCCTTCGGTGAGTAGTGAGACGAATGATGCATCGCACTTATAGCGAAAAACATCAATCCAGCATTAGGCTTTGTACCCTTCTGCCTTTGCACTGAGGAGCAATTACACCTCAAACTGACCAGGAAAATTCCAAGAATGATCCGAATCAGAATGCCGCGTAAACAAGCACGAGTCATTATTCAAACAATTCAAGCATGTAGCAATGATGCTGTCAAATCCTCTGCAAACAAGCTTACGCTCCAGTAGACCCCCTCCCACAACCTAGTTGCAAGTTTCATCGCCAATCAGCCGAAAGGCTTGCCTGCCGTCCTGCCCTCTTCGACTCTCATTATGAATACGTGGACTAATGATGGTGAACATCTCGATACCCAAACCAAAGCAGCACAACCTCCATCCTACACTGCAGGAGCTTTGGCAGCCAAAACTTGTCGCGCTTCTGTTAGCCTTCACAGCATCCGCTCGGTGACCCTTAAGAGGTCTCGGGAACAAGCACGAATGGTTCGGCCGAGACCCAGGCCACCGCTGAAACAGAGGCTCGTAGAAGGACAGATCCCGTGCCTCGGCTCTGGCGACAGGCTGGGGCCGGCCCTTCGTTGCGAAAGGCAGCAGCAGGAGCAGCGGGAGAAGCGAAAGCAGACGAAGCAGCCGCAACAACCACGACATGACCAAGACGACATCAAACAGCAAACGACAAGCAAAAACAGCAACGCACGAGCGCACAACAATCAACCATGAAGCATCACCAAAAGTCACGGGACACAATGTCAATAATACAACTACATACAACTACCGATCACAGTCCGACCAACACCAATAGCTGCTGTGAGGAGTCGTTCACATCTCAGAAAGGCACAAGCCTTTCACGTCCCCAAACTGTGTTCGCTCCGGACACGCTCATAACACACGGACTAGCCAATCCCAATCCCTACCTAAAACTGGAAGTTCCACACCATCCAACGGCGCATCTCCTTCTACCTCAAACCGATCTGATGCGGCTTGAGACTTTCGGTGCCGATCATGTTCTGAGTCGAGCCTGTAACGCTGAAATGCCAATTGAACCCGACACCTCTGGCAACCAGGAAGTCCCGGCCAGCCTTCGAAAGCCAATCCCCGGCCCCAAGAAGCCCCTTAACACCCCCCAACCCTCTCACAATCCACGCAGCCCCTACCCAAAGAGAAGAAAAGCGGCCGTGAAGTGAAGCAGCACCGACTCAGAGCCGCCAGCGGGAATCATACCCGTCTTCCTTGCAGCGGTCAAGCACTTGGGCGTAACAACAGCGAACGGCAAGTGGATCGGATTGCAGAGCTCGTGTAAGGACCTACAAACCGTCACGAACGCCAGGGCCGGAATAAGAAGAAATATTCAGGAGTCCCTGATTTACACGGGCTGTTAGACGTGCAGGAGGGTTTGAAGAGAACAAGACTAGTAGCCGAGGGATTGCAAGCTGCAAACCTAAATCCCAGAATGGCACTGGCTAGCCACACATTCTTGCTGTCTCTCCCCCCGTCTCTCTCCTAACAACCGGCAGCTAAGCAAAACGAGCGGGCAAGATCTGCTAACAACAGGCAACATAGTTGGTTCGGTCTGGAAGCAGGGTGCCGCAATCACACACATGCCCGGTCGGTGTTGACAGGGTGGTGCTGATGTTCATTTGCTAGGGGTTATTGCATGTTATTGCCACATGGACACTCGGACAGTCTGGGATCTGGGAGCCCAAGTTCTTCACTTTCGTCCTCCACCGTCTGGACATGTCTGGTGGTTTGAGAAGCTTGAGATGCCGTGAAGCATGCAGCCAGGCAGCCGGAATCCCCTCAAGATTGGAGTCGGATAGCCGGCCTCGTGCTACTGCTACGCTCAGCAACTTCACTGTCAATCCCTGCACGGTGTTTGTTCAATCAAGGTTCTACAGCTATGCCGCGATGCCTGCCCCTTCGACCCTGAGCGCATGTCAGGACAGGAAGGCCGATGAAGAAAGCAGTCATATGAGGATTCCAAGTTTGAGGGGTACCGCAATGCCTAGGACCGCCCGGAACAGAAGACGACGCCACGAAAATGCGGGGTCTTCCGACTCCACCGAAGTAAGGGATGGAAACAGTTGCTGGGTGTGAGCCGCACCTGAGCTGGCATCTCCAAGTAGCTCTGGACCACTGCCCGACCTGTCGAGGATCGTATTGTCAGAGCCACAAACTTACAAATCCCCGAGCAAACCTGCCTGCCCGGGGGCCCACATTGTCAACAGCCAGGCGCAGGCACAGGAAGGCCTTGGGCATGTGCGGCTCCGTGATGATGATGGGACAGAAAACCCTTGGAGCCCCACATCCACCGGAGCCGAAGCCTGCGGCTTCTTGACGTGCGAGAACATGCCCCTACCATTTCTTGCAACAAAACCTCCAGGCTGCAGTTGCCCAGGATGGGATCCCTGTACCTGAGCGATACCCGAAGTCGAAGCAAATATCCGTTGGCAGCACACTTCGTAGTTGAGCAGCTCAAAGGACGTGTACGTCAGACCATGTCCGAAAGGAAATGCCGCCGTGAAGTTTGGGTTCCTGCAGGGCCGGTCAAGCATTCCAAACGCACCGCCATTCACCGCCTCCTTCCTCACCAACACTGCCGTGTACAGCGGGTCCTGTAGCTTGTTCGCAGTCCTTCGGTGTAGTCCACGATCCTGTCTGTGTCACCCAACATCACCGACAGACACCTCCCCCCAAGGCCGGGCGCCCCACAGGCCCTGGCTCGGCCTGAGAGACACGGACAAAAGAACCGAACCCAACGTGACGCAGCTCCGATCTCCGCGGTCTTCTCAGGCCCTGACGGGATGGAGTCTGCCTCGGTCTCTGGCATCATGATCGGGAGCCGGCCGCTGGGAGCCTGCTGGCCGAGGACACGCAGAAGCAGCCGGCACGACATGCAGGTGCAGTGCCTCGTCACCAAACCTGGGAAGACTCCAAAGCTTTTTTGGCGAATCATGGGCTGACTGTCAAATCTCCCCTGCAACAGTGGCTGTGCTTCTTGCAGGATTCGTCCCCAAGCGCTGCCGGTCTCCTGGCACTCCGTGCATTTGGGATGGCTTGTCAGTTCGAATGATGTACCAGAGCCTCACCGCCGAGAAATAGCACGAGGATGGCGTGCACGGATTTCTTCCACGGCATGACGACAGCCTGAAGCAAGACAACGTGATTCGGTGGTGGTCTGTCTTTCGGGCGTCTGACAGTCTGAGACCTTCACTCCTGGAGCTTGGACGAGAACCACCGTCCGCCTGCCAAGGCCAAGAACTGCAAAGCCGACAGCCAAAAGCTACGAGTAACGACAGGTCACCAGAGGCACAAACTTCGCGGCGGCCGAAACAGTTGCGATGAGATCGTCAGCTCCTCTCTCACTGTCAACGTCAAGGCTTAGGCCCCCCTTGCGCAGAAGGGGAAGGGCAGAGCAAGCCTCCATCCAAGGACAGGTTTAGCCGATCGGCGCTCTCCCCGCATGTGGTCGCTGCTACGATGATAGTGACGTCGGCCTCGCCAGTGCTCTGTACACTACACAGGTATCGAGGGCAGACACGACAAGCATTGCAACCACCGATGTGTCGCCTGCTTCGCAACTTGAAGGGCTGATGTTGGATCGTTGGTTGTCGACGACAGCACCTGTCATACAGAGGCAGTGCGCAATGCGTAAGTAGCTGGGTTCTGGCTGGAAACTGCCGAACCTACGCTCAACACAAGCATCGGCCACCGTGATTCCCTGTTGCTGCGCGCGCCTGCCCGTCAGAGAGCAGAACTGCCCTAAACCTGTGCTTAGCGGTGCTCTATTGCAATTGCTTCTCCTATCTTCGGTCTTCTCACACACTAGACAGGATCTGGCCGATGCAGTCTGCGCCATCAGTTCTGCTCATCACATCAGAGCGATTTTTTGTGCGTTTTCTGCAAATTTCTCTCAGCTTCGGCTTGAGTGGTGCCTGCTGAGGCTCCCCTGTATGTACGACAGCTACCACTACTGCTACCGCTACTGCTACTGCTTCTGCTGCTACTGCTGCTCCTTCTACTGCTACTTGTACTACTACTTCTTCGGCGACTACGTCTACAGTACGACGAGCACGACGAATCCGGCCTGCACAGCTATCATGTGAAGTTCGGCAGTGACACAAACGCGACTGTCCTGTCTTCCATTCCAAGCGGCTCATACATATACCCCACATGTATCTATGTGCATGTGCTATGGCAAGCACCTGCGCACATACACTAGATATTCCTGCAGAATTATCTGCAAACGCTTACGCATGCGTGTGAGAAGGTAGCGTGAGCACGGAAGAAGCGCTTGTCGCATACATTCCTCGCTCAGACACTCTCCGCGAACAGCTTTGGCTCATTACGGTCTCATCCGCCATATTTCTCAGCTACCTCTGTCACCGCATCACGGTGTTCAGGTTGAAAACGCAAACACCATTCTGCGAACCTCGGCAGTCTCTCAGGACCCCAACGCTGCAAAGGAGGGGACATAGTCATCATGCGAGTGCAGTCAAGACACAAAAGTTCTGCGGACAAACGCAAAGCCGCGCCCAGTTGCATTGTGTGGGGCCTCGAGTATAGTCGCAGTTGTTGAACATGCAGGTTCCGCCAGTGATGGTGGTGCACCTCGGGCTCCACATGGCTGTCGGCGGAGCTGAGGCTAACTGAGGCAACTCTGATCTGGAAAAGCATACAAAATTCTACGGCTTCCATTCGGCTCAAGTTTCTCGCTTTTGGTTCCATTGTTACGCAACTTCTCCTGCCAGCGTGATGTGCATCAGGACAACATACTTAGTAGGAGAACGAGATACCAAAGCGAGCGGAACAAAAGGAAACGCATCATGATGGCACGAGTCAGTCGCCTACTTGTTCGGGTAGCAGCTGAGGCCACTCAGGACTAGGGCGACCATTCTGATGAAGAGGGACATGGAGACAGGGAAGAAGATGGTTGCGATGGCGATGGTGACGGAGAATACGAAGACATTGTGAAAATGGTACTCGTGACGAAGAAAACCACGAGATGGGATGACGCTGAGGACGATGACCAGCGGAAGGAGTCGACGAGCTTGATTCAGTTGACGACGATGAAGTGAAGATGACTAGCATGAGGATGAGCATGAAGAAATGTGGAGCAGGAGTAGGAGGAGGGACGGGTATGATGATGATCTGTGCCATGACATCTTGAATTTCCTGCAGCAGGGCGTGGAAGCATCCGCTGCAGGTAGCATCGTCTTTCCACACAGCAGCCCCCTGGTACCTGAGAGTTGCCAGGAGGAGCAGCATCGGAGTGATTTGTTTCAGTGCACACTTGCGCTTCCAAATTTTACCAAGGCGCTTGCAGTGGGCTTGGCAATCTCCCTCCTCAATGCGGGCTGGGGCCCAAGCCAGCAGCTCGGATGTCTTACAGCCCCGGCAGGCAGGGTCATGCTGCCATACTGCCGCCCCGACAAACTTGCAGTGATCCTGGTCAGAGTGCAGTATAAAAGAATCGGAAACAGCGGATCGAATAGAAACATCACTGCAAGAAAACACTGTCTTTGCATGGCATCCAGCAGGCCTCACGTTGTCTTTCTTCTGCGCTCTGGCTCGTTCCCTCTACTTCGATGTCGCATGCATGCACGCTGCAGTAGCGGCAGAGCAGCACATAGCAGTAGCAGTGTAGCTGTAGTCGTAGTGGTCGTCGTCGTAGTCCCATGAGCACTAGCGGCAGCAGTAACAGTAGCAGTAGTCGTCGTCGTGGTCGTCGTCGTCATAGTCACAGTCATAGTCGTAGTCGTAGTCGTCGTAGTAGTCGTCGTCGTCTTAGTAGGCCCATTTTCGACCAAGATCGTACGGTCAATCTTGCAGTCTTGGGGTTGCAAGATTGGCGTGCAAGCTTGCCAAAAGCACTTGCACCACATGGACCACTTGCACGACTTGGTGGGGGGGGGTGGTGCCAATCTTGCCCATCTTGCCTTGCAAGTGGTGCAAGCGATGCAAGCGGCGGAAGATTCGCAAGATTAGCACCCTGAGCCAGATTTGCAAGATCAGCAAAATGTTAGTCACAAACAGCGGCCTTCCATTCCCAACTCAATGAAGTAGTAGCAGTAGTAGTAGTAGTAGTAGTAGTAGTAGTCGTCGTAGTAGTAGTGTTAGTAGTAGCAGTAGCAGTAGCAGTAGCAGTAGCAGTAGTAGCAGTAGCAGTAGCAGTAGCAGCAGTAGTAGTTGTAGTAGGAGTAGGTTTACAAGAAGTACTAGTCGTACTAGTATTACTCGTCGTCGTCTTAGTTAGTAGTGGCAGCAGCACTAGCAACACTCGTCGTCGTAGTGGAAGTAGTGGGAAGAGCCATAGTGCAGAATTGAAATAACCCACGAATCTGCAATGCAGCTGCAAAATTACAGCCCACCTGCCTCGCACTTGTCAGATTCCTTGGTGCCGGCTTCTGCCGTCGACACCATCGCGCAGTCTTGGCACTTTGCATCGTACGGCCACAATCCCGACGGTTCTTTTTGGCAGTAGTCGCTGCATGAGGGTATGGAAGAGCCGGATTTCTGCGCAAAGGATGCCGTGCAATCCTTGCAATCTGGATTGAACTGCTGCACGGCGGCACCAACGTACTTGCAGTAGTCGGCACACCCGACCCTTTCCTTGTCGCTGCCCTGGCTGTTGCTTGGGCTGCTCTGAGCCAACACTGTGCAGGAGGCACAGTTGGCGTCATATTGCCACACTGTCGAGGGCTCATGCTTGCAGTAGTCCGTGCAATCACTCACCTGCAATAGAGATGCCTTGCAGCCCTGACAGTCGGGGTCGTACTGCCAAAGCGCAGATCCAACATGCTTGCAGTAATCTGCGCAAGCGCCACTTGTCTCTGTTGCAGCAGTGGCCGATTCCTGAGCAAAGGAGGTTGGCTTGCAGTCCTGGCAATTGGCATCATACGCCCAGGCCATAGAAGGCTCGTGCTGACAGTAGGACTGACACCTGCTACCCTGGTCTTCCTGCAAGAGGTACGGTGCTGCACAGCCTCTGCAGTCTGGGTTGTACTGCCAAACCGCGGATCCAACATACTGGCAGTAGTTGAAGCAGCTCACTGACCTGTTCAACAGTGGTATCGGCTGCTCGTAACAACCTCCACAATTCGGATCATACTGCCAGACGGCCGGACCCTCATACTGACACCAGCTTGCACATGGATACTGCGAAGCATGCTCCTCCACCAGAGCCGTGGAGCAATCTTTGCAGTCAGGCACGTTTTGCCGCACTGACGTGCCAACGTACTTGCAGTAGTCGGCACACCCGACCCTTTCCTTGTCGCTGCCCTGGCTGTTGCTTGGGCTGCTCTGAGCCAACACTGTGCAGGAGGCACAGTTGGCGTCATATTGCCACACCGTCGAGGGCTCGTGCTTGCAGTAGTCCATGCAATCACTCACCTGCAATAGAGATGCCTTGCAGCCCTGACAGTCGGGGTCGTACTGCCAAAGCGCAGATCCAACATGCTTGCAGTAGTCTGCGCATATGCTGTCCGCTTCCACCTGGTGCGATTTAAGACTGAGACGACTATGCATGCGTACACAGCGATATGTACTTCGGACAAGCTGCGTCATCAGACTTTCCTCGGCAGAGGCTCCACAAGATACCCGATTGGATTCAAGATTTAGCTGTTGGTCAGCTGCTGCATGAGGCGAGGCTCCAGTTGACTCATCCCTCACAGTAGACCGACCAGTGTCAAGCCTAGCGAGATTCGGGTCATTTCATGCAGCTGGAGAGCTCATTGGAAGATGACTCCTATTTCAACTCGAGCCAAGAGGCACATTCTTCGAGAGCTCTATCTTCACCTCCCGTGGATGACTTCCAAGAGCGCACCATCAGACATCAAGGCACATGGAACGTCGCGTGGTGGCCTGCAGCAACTCGGTATTGATGCTCTCTGCAAAGAGGTCCTCGTCCTGGGGAAATAGCCCCTCAACCTAGCCCCCGGCGCCCTAGCACCAATCCCAGCTGTCACAGCCTCGAAGCAAGTGGCGAAACGGATAAGGCACGAGGCCAGGAAGAGGCGGATCGCCATGCTGCGGGACGTTTCAGGCAAAGTATTCATACCGCACTCAAGTCAGGGTCACGTCGGCCGGGCCTTCAGGTGAAAAGCCGCGGAGGGTATGTACAGGAAGAGGGATGTGAGATTGCAGCCCGTGCTTCCCAGCTTGGAGCCACGAATTGCAGGGTGGACCGTCGGATCCCAACCCAAAAGACACATACGGTTTCATGGGATAGACCAGCGAGGCCCACCAGACAGTTTCGCCCTCAAACCCACAGACTTGGCCAGCTGCTCGATCTTATCGACTCACCCAGCGCGGGAATCCGGCGCATCACCACTAGCCCATGCTGGCAGCAGCTTGTGAGTCCTGCGGAAATCCAAGCGAAAATCCGGCCTCTGTATGCCTTCCAAAGGAGTCACCACCTTGGTCCAAAACGGAACGGCCGGACGGGATCCAAGGCGTACAGTAGCTGGGCATACTATGCGGAAAACACTGGTTGTCAATGCGCGACAGCAGGCTCAGAGCAAGACGTTGCTGGCAACCGTGTGGCCACCTGTCGAAGCGATTGATTGATCACATTCTCGACAGCTTGCTGTGCGATTCGCTGCAGGTTCAAATGAGCTCATGGCTTCCACCACCGGAATAGTAATCGCCAACGGCCTCATCGCACAGCTGCACAACATGCATCCAAATGCATCCGATGCTGTGTTAGATCACCAAGTGATGAAGAGCAGAACAACCAAGAGTAGGCCGCGCTTGTTAGAATACTGGCATTGGGTGAAACACGAAACCTTGCATTAAATGCTTGGTGCCAAGCCTCGTGGATCTACTTCCAACACCATGCAATCGTCAAGAGGGACAGCTTGTGTTGAACCCGACGGTCTTGATGTTAAAAAGCGGGAACCACCTAGATGCAAACACACAAAGAAACTGATTTCTCTTCCAGGTCTCCCGCTCTGCTCCGGGCTTCTGAAATGTCTTTCCAAACGGAGCTCAGATTCTGCCTCATTTCTGCGAGAATTGCAAAGTTTCCTTTTTTTTGCGTGTGTTCTGAAAGTTACTCTCAAATGGGGAGAAAAAACACAACAAACTATGCGCAAAAACTGTAACGGTCGTCAGGATTTCTGCTGCAAAACAACTTAGGCTTCCCCGTGGAACTGAAGAAAGCACTGTGTTTTGCTCATTTTCGCCATGAACGTTGCAAGATTCCCGAACAAGTTATTTGTTGTTGTGTTCCTTGAACCTTTCCCTTTAGCGGAAAGAAGAAGTACATTTTAAAAATGAAACACTTGTATGAAAAGGTTCGGCGCAAACTCTCGGGGTTCCACACGGAAACGACGAAAAACAGTATGCGCTGCTAGTTTTCTGAGAAAAGTGCTACGAATCTGCACCTATTCTCTCCTGAAGTTTTCTTTCAAATAGGAAAAGACTTGGAGGCGCTGAACTAAGACAGAGGATTTCATACATTTAGATGTTCCTAATCAAGAACTGATCCAAAAGTCCCTTGGCCCCAGTCACAAACAATTCCAGCCACCCTTTCCGGCCCAGCGACACATCATAACGAGAACCAGAACATACGTTCAAAGCGAGCTCTACTGAGAAGCCCGGCCCAGGAATTCGCACCTTGGTCTTTCCCGCTCGGATCGTAGGGCCTTGGGCCCCAACCGCATCAACGCAACCTTCGCAGCACCTCCGCACCCTGAAAAGCTCAAAAGCATCTACAAGCAAGTATGTTGCTGAGGCTCGCACCGAGCCACAGCGGCAGCACCTCGAACCAGCAGAACTGGGCTCCAAATCCCGCACGGGAGCCAAAATCTCTCTTCACCTTCGAGCTAGTCCTTGCCAGGGTGCTCGATCTGTTCCAGGAAACAAACACTTTCTTGGGATTCCGTTGTCTCACTTTCTTGTTATGCCGAACTTACGTTGACGCAGAACTGTCCAGTAAGCTTGGCCTGAACTCTGAGAGTCACTGATGAGCGTTCATCTCCGCTGAGGGCAAGACCCACTACTGCGATGGTGGTGACCTTGGCACCCGGACCCAGAAAGAAGGTAAACTCTGCTAAAGCTGCCTTGCGGGCCCTTCGCAGCGCCCAAGGTGCCGGCGTTGGAGAGCGGAAGAACGTTGAGGTGCTTAGTGGCAGGAAGGAGCAGGGGTACTGGACTCACGGTTTACGTCCAAAGGCAGTCAGCTTGAGGCGTTGGGGCTGCAGTTCGAGTGGTGCAATGCCTTGTGCAGGCCTGTCGACTTGAGAGTAGGAAAGCTAGAAGCAGTCGGCTGTCGCTCATTTTTCAAGTCAGCACTGCTCATGGCTTAAACTGTAAACTGGAGTTGAGGGCCAAAGCACGAGCACCAGATTCACCAGAAGCTTGAGCATACTACAGTTGTGTGTATATATACATATATATATATAGAAGTCTTGAGACCCAACACTGGAACTTGTATCTCAACAACACCGAAGATCTGACATCTTAAACCGGGGGGGAGGGGAGGTCTTATCGGAGGGGGGAGGGGGGTCTTAAAGGTGGGGGACTGGAAATTTGCAACCCAAAGGCCCCTTAGTTTGAGGGGGAGGGGGGGGGATCCTTAAATCGACCAATAAGGGGGAGGGAGGGAAGCCCCCTAAAACCCTTGATTTCCACACCTTTTAAGGTTTCGTACTTGCGCTTCACCAGTGAATAAATTTGTAAACGACAACTCCAGCAAAGCTCCGAAGAGCTAGCTTTCGTGACTTGTCGCTGAGGGAAGGACATTCTGCAGCAGGACCTGAAGTGAGACTGCTCCAGTTGGCTACCACGCATCTGCATGAGCAGCATCAGAATACACAACAAACCCGAAAACTAACAAATGCACTAGCTCGCAAGAGCCCCGAAACAGAACACACGGCCATCCTGGGTCTTGGACAATCGACTGCGTGGCCAACTCTCTGGACAGCGCTCGGTTCTCGGGGGACGTTACGTTGGCACGCAGATACCTGATCTGATGAGGTTGCACCGTCAGCCTATGATCCTCCGCCTCGATGTGCCTTGGGCTTCCGCTGGGTACAGTTCGGCGGGCTGCACTTGGACGTGCTCATCAGGTCCAACCTGCGTCTGCCACTCCCAGCATCGAGTCTCGATCGCAACGCAGGAGGCTCACCTGTTCATGGCAGCGAGGATCCTTCGCCTGAGCTGCATGCGATCGCCTTGTCTTCTCGGTGTTGTGGAGTGCACGCTGGGAAGCTGGCACAGCATCATCCACAAGCTCTGGAGGTTGCAGTCGCAGTGCCTTTCACTGGGCGAGCAGAATCACGATCTCTTGGAGCCATTCTGCAGACAAGTTCGGCCTCAATGCTATACAGACCCTGTACCCCGGGCATCTCCTGATACAGGCACAGCGGCTGTGCACAAGCTTGCAGGGAGGGCGGAGACGGCTGCGATGCCTGGTCGAGCCCCCGCTCCAACGACATCTCGTGGACTGCCCACCAATCCGACTGGACGAAGCCTCAGTGTCATTCCTCGCACCAATACCCTGGTCAATACCCTCTGCAGGGACCCGTGCCTCGGAAGCCCATCCGCTCTTTCAACGCCTTGAGAAGCAGGTGTAAAGGCGGGAAAGCATCTAGATTCAGATCCCACAGCCTCGCAGAGGAAAGCAAACGTGAATTTCACCCGCGGGGGGGGCATGACAACTGTAAATATGCTGCAAGGCAGTGCGATCTTTCAATGCCTAATTGGCATCTTGCGATTGATAGCCTCTGGCCCTGTTCTGAAAGAAACTGAAAGAAATCTCGCCGGCCGCACGACTCGCAGCAGATCTCGATTGGAGCATGCATGCACTCCATCGACCTTGGCCCATCAAGCTTCCCGTGCCGCAACAGACAGCAACCAGCCAAGACAGCGACCAGGTTGTAGGAACACCTTGCCGACGCACAAGTAGAAAGAACAGGGCAGCTTGGTAGAACCCTCTAGAGAGCGCGTTTAGTGGCGTTTACAGTCTTCCGGAGGCGCGCGGCATCCAACAGTACCCTCTAGAGAGCGCGTTTCGTGGCGTGATGCGTGTAATGTGCGTGTGATGCGTGTGATGTGCGTGTCGACGGTGATGTGTGATGTGCGTGGTGTGAGTGTGTGAGATACAGAGGAGGTGCGGGAGGGATGCGTGTGATGTGCGTGGTGCGGGAACAGAGGGAGGAGAGGGAGGAGAGGAAGAAGCGGCGCGACAGCACCAAAAAGTAAGAACCCCACACAAAGATTTGGGGAACAAGAAGGTGACACGTGCATTTGCCGCCGTGTGGGGTGTGTCGTTTGTTTTTGGATGGTTTCTTGCTTGAATGCATCGGTTGTTGTGTGGTTTTCGTTGAACAAGACGATGTTTCGGTTCTGTTGGTGCGTAGTTTTTGTCTTGATTTTTGGGTACGTTTTTTTTTGCGAAATTGTCGCAAATACCATGCTTTTCGTCTTGTTGTTTTGATGATTTTGGGGTTAGTTGCAAAGGTTTTTTTGAGAAGCCTTAAAACACGAAGAATTTTGCATGATTAACATTCCGAAAATGAAGCAACAAGAAGCGGCAACAACGGTTGCGTAGAGCAACCGGCAGCGTTTGAGAAGTAACGAAACAAAAGAAAAAGAAGACACAAGCCGCATTCGCATGGACATCACCCCCGCCCCCCCCCCCATCCCCCCGCCCCACCCCCGCACAGAGCTGAAAGACAAATGCAAGTCTAAGCTGGCATGCGCAAAGAGTCGAGAGTCGGCCAGAACACCGTAAAAAACGATGCGAAATGCGACACACATAGGAAGCAACAAAAGAAACGGAAGACACAAGTGGCATTCGCATGGACGTCGTCACCCCCCCATCCCCCCATCCGCCCCTCCCCCCGCACAGAGCTGAAATACAAATGCAAGTCCAAGTTGGTATGTGCAAAAAATCGAGAGTCGGCGGAAAACACCGTAAGAACCGATGCGAAAGGCCAGTTACAGAGGAAAACACCGAACAAAACGACGCGAATTGGAGAGGTCGGTAGTTTTTGTACAATGTATCCCGGCGGCTGGTGCA